CTTCGTTATAATTATGTACACAACAAAAATAAATATGATTCTTACCTTTAACTACACATTTGAAGATATATTTAAGTGAGTAGTATTATTTATCATTAATAACTTATACTGTTTTCTTTATTCCAGTGTGAAAGGTAAACAATACTTCCAGTGTCCAGATAAATACGGAGGATTTGTGAAACCAGAATTTGTAGAAATTGGTGATTTTCCCGAGGAGGGAATGGATATAGACGATGATGATGAAATGTGATTTATTATATTATAGGTATTTAATTAGGTCTTATGTAATTGCCTGGATGCCCAGAGATGTTGGGGTTTGCAGAGAAAAGAAAAGACTAGCAATAGTCTGACATTTTTTAAATCCCATATGATTTATACAGTATTTGTAATTGCATGGGAAAATAAAGTGCTTATATTATAGGGGAATCCTCTTGACCTTAAAAGTTAATTACAGTACTTCTGTTTATTGTGCTTATGTGTTTCTTTCTTGGGTCTGCAGAATAGAACATCATTTCCTTCAAACTGGTTTGAAAGTTTTAGAACACAACATCTTGCTAACTTTTGATAGTTCTAAAACATCATTCTCGGTAACCATTTTTGGAAGTTCTAAAACATAAATATTTTGGGAACCATTTTTGAATTTTCAAAAACATCATTTTTTGCTAATGTTTTTGAAAGTGCACCATTTCCTGCCAATATTCTCCTATTTTTGTAAAGCTCCAGAATGGCTCTTCCGGTTGTTTTCGGATAATTCTTCAAATGTGACATGATGAAGTGTTGTGGTCCATGCAATTTTGCTTGTTTTTGTATGTTATTTTAGTGTAATTTTCAAACTATTGATATTGCAATGATGTCAATTACAAACATTTATTTCTGTGATATTTAATGATAGACATAATGAATTATGTTGCTATATAAAATGAATAAACACAATTGATAGGTTCATGTACAGGTATTAAAAGATTCCAATAATAGGAAAGTGGTTTAGACGTAAAATGTAGTTATAGGAAAAAATTTCTATGCATAACTTACATAGGGTATAAAGCTGTATTTTATGAAACATATTTATAAAATTTATCATCAGTAAAATTACATTGGTTCCTATAGTTGATTCTCAAAAGTGTTGTTACTTTATCACTCATGAATATTGTATGTGAACAGTATAAAACATTATTCTGCTATTTTAGAAGTGTTTTATCTGTTTAGCAATAATTTTATGCATGTGCTGTTTGCTTTTAAAGTGACATTATGCTCATTTTATCATTGTCAAATTGACTTTAATTGACTTTATATTTCAATAAACTGGTCGTTATTATGGTGATTGACCAACACAGTCATGATGTTTGAAAATGTTTAGGGTAAAAAATAAATCTACCTAAATATATATATAAAAAAAACTGCCCCACTCTTTTTATGAATTGAAAGTTACAGATACATTCCGACGGATAATTACACACATTTTATAGGGCCTAGTGAGTTATTTATCGTTCATGTGAAGTAAATTCTAAAATTGAAAGGAATTATAAGAAAATGTTAACTTATTTTGACTTTCACCTGTTCACTCTATATCTACCCATGGATGGGCATAATGTCACTTTAAGGCAATTTACTACCAAACTTATTTCAGAAAAGCATTTTGGAATAATTCTTTTTGTAAATTCAAACATTAATTTTTGCTGGATATATTAAACTTATATACTTAAAAGTTATGAGATGTAGGTTTTAAGAATGTTTATGATAGATCTGAATGATTATACAAATTATAGACATTATCTTTAAATTCCATGCGTAAACTTGATCCTTTTTTTCTTTATAAAGGTTTTCAGCTACAAGAAATCACTTGACATTATTTCGAGGCACAATGATTGCTTATATACTTACGTATTGATGCTTTAACGTTTTGATTTTCATTTTTTTCATGAAATTGTCATATTTATTTCTTCATATTCATATTTATAATTCAAAATAAATGGAACAAATTTGCTTTGAGTATTGTTTAACTTGTTTTATAGGAACTGGGCATTGAAATTCTTGGATTAAACCCTTAACATTGCTGGAATCAAGTGATTGGCCTTAGACACCAGTACAGAACCTGGTCTGCCTGCATGCTCTATACTGTTGGTAGCTCAAGTTTTGCCCCGGGTATTGTGATATTGAAATAACTCAGTTTTCCAATGGAGTGATCCAAATTCAAATCATACAAAATGTCAGCAGGTTAAAGGTGAAGGATTGTATAGTTTAAACTTTAAAAGATGCTGTATGTTTATGGGAGCAATTGTGATGAGGAGGGTTATGAAATGAGGATCAGTGAAAGGGATTTTTGTTCATGGTTATAGATCAGATATTTTTAAAAGGGAAAGTAATGTAATTATAGAAAATAATGTAAGCATGTTTATTACTTGCTGACTTAAAATGTAAGGATGTTGACAATTTTATTAAAGACTACCGGTTTGGGTACTACTGTACCTTCATCAAAGTAAATATAAATTCTGACATTTCACCACAGATAAAACTATATTTGATAAATTTGCTTTGGAAATATAAATAAAGGTCAATTTTCTAGATGGATCAGATTTGTTTGTTCCAATGAGAAGAGATGTTTCAATGAGTGGGCGAGTGTTTGTTGTTGAGTTTTAAGTCATACCAAGCCTTACTGGTGGAGAAAAGACTCGGGTGACCTCGGTGCATTACTTCAGTCATGGCGGTCACCAATGTTCACTTACCTGGATAGCATCCTCACAAAAAACAATCCGAATATCTGGCGAGATTTACTGGGCAAGTTCAAAGTCAAGGACATAAACCAACCGCCCTTGGGCGCCCTATGTGAAGAAATTTTTTTTTATCGATTATGAACAAGAAAAGTTGAATGTCTTTTATTGAGTATGCACGAGAAATGTTTTTATATTTCACAAATTGAAATAGCTCCTCTTAATCTATCTGAAAGGACCTGCATCAACTATAATATACCTCTATTTACTTTAAAAACAATACCATTGTAATATTATGAAGAGAGTTTCAAGGTCTTATAAATTTGTGAGAAAGTGAATTAGAAAAACAAAGCCTTGATGGCAATATAATTTGTATAAACCATGTCAAGTAGGCTATGCATATGTACATTCTGCTTATCAATTAAATATTTATTTTTTTGAGAAAAATTAAATGAAAACTCGTCACCCATTTGGAAATTATGTGCTGTATGAGATAAGTGTTGAGGTCATTCAAACATTAAACCAGTTTTACTTTAAGGTAGTACACCCCTAATGGGCACTATAAGGAATTGTAAATTTGACAACATAGGACAGTTATATGCTTTAAATGTCACCTGTATGCAAAATTTAAACAAAATTTACCGTGTGGTTAATGAGTTACGGACATTTTTATGAACTAAAACTTTGCCATTAGAAGGGATTTTTTCAGACATGAGGAAACTCTAAATAATCTATAATATTATCATTATGAAAAATGTAATCCTTTTGCTCATTGTTAAGAAATAAATATTGACATTTAGGTAACAAATTAAACAAGCAAAATTATTGTTTTTAAACGAAATGTTTTTAATATGTATAAAAATGTAACCCTACCCCACCCACTTTTAACACTAATTTGACCATTTCCCTATATAAAAAGCCTTATTTAAAATATCCCTAAAATTTTCCAAAATGAGGGGCTATTTTCAAAGTTTGCCTAAATTTTCTTTAATGTATATTGGTTGGTCTTGCAAAATATAAAATACTTTTACCGTTTAGTTTTTATTTTATTAAACTTTGAAAATATCTGGTATCATATTTGCTATTAAATTTGGCATTATTTAGTAAATAAATACCTACAATAATTATATAATTAAAATAAAACACTTTTTTCTTCCATAGGGGGTCTGAGAGATTTATAAAAAATGTTAAAAAGAAAAAAAAGAAAGAAAAAAAATGCCTCTTCTGGGGTTTGAACCCACGCCCCCTCAGTTACAATACACTTTGCAGTGATTTTAGCCTATTTGAATACTCTTCAAAGTGGAGACAGTGCATTAGGGGTGTACTACCTTAATACAGTGCAGATTAATGCAATGCAGATAAGTCTGTTTTTTACAAAAATCATTATTCAAGTCACATTTATTCAAGGTTATTTTAGTCAACTTAATGCACTTAATGCTTAAGTATTTTAAATGTTATTAATTATTTTGAAAATGTCTAGATATTTATTTGATATAAAAATTAATTCGTAAAAGTATTTTCAACAACTTGTAAAAATTAACGTTTACTAATCAAATTTATTATCTTTAGTTGACACCTAACTTATATATTTGCTTGCACATTGTCAGTTCTAAAAGTGAAAGTTCGTCTGCTTTTGAAGACAGTTTTAATTTTGATCATTTTAGCTTTTATAATTGAACGCAAATGCAGTATACATGGTGACATTAACCCCTAAATGGCATTGACGGTCAAATTTCCCAGTTAGATCCTCTTGGTTATTTATTATTAAAGGAGGTATAAAAATAAATCATATAATTTTTGCTGATGACCTTTAAAGCAAAGACACGGTAGACAGTTTTTAGGAAGGTATTATTGATATGTAAAAGTACATTGAAAACATGCATATGTTGCATGCATTGCAATCTACTTTGTAACATCAGCCTAAATATTACACGCAAAAAGATATCGTGTCCTTCATAAAGCAAGCGATGAAATACAAGCTTTTAAACGACCTTGAATCACTTCATGGATATGTATAGAGTAATAATGCTGTGATCTTACATAAATGGAGCTCAGTAAACAGTAGAAAAAAAACAATTTCAATTCGTTTCAACAAGCGAGAATACACGATTAATATGTTTTATATATAATTTAAAGCAGTATCAGTTAAACAATAGAACAGAAATAATTGTGATAATGAGCAATTTGTAATTAAACGTCAATATCGCTATAGTTTACAGTTGTCGCCTGTTTAACACTTGAAAACATGCAGGAAATTATCTTAGTAAATCTGTCCATTATGAGATTCATAATTCATGATTTTCTCTGTTCTTGATGTCCATGAAATATTCCGTTTTTGGTTTCACTTGTAACACCTCTAACAAATGCACTCCCTGCTAATGTGTCAGCTATGACAGAACCAGCAGACTCTCCACCAACAGTGACGTATTTTTTTAACATAATTCCTTTAAAATTGTATATTAATTTAACTCTTTTTAAATTTTGCCTGTATATACTTTAAATATACTGCTAATTTGCAGCTGTATTTTAAACAGGTAAACCATGACCTAACTATCTACACATCATATTTTAATTTTAATGAGCTTATACATACTTGGCACATCTGAAACCGACTCTTCATAATTTAAATAAACAACCAAAATGGGTTTGTCAATGTTTCCGGTTTTTAAAAAAGTCTCACAGAGAGAAAATATGTAGAATAATAAAATCATGACGTAATTATCTTATTTTTCCAAATGGCTAAGAAATGTGTCGGCCATATAAGCATTTTACGTTAAAGAATAGAACAGAGAATTTTTTCTTTTGCGCATGCAGCTTTTGTTTATATATTAATAAGGTCTCATAGATTGCTTGAACACTATACAAATGGGTATTATTTAGTATATTGTAAGTAAAATAGAAGAAATTTGTTTGTTTCTATCTGAAATACCCGGCTTAAAATATAAAATACCTATTTACTATAGTTAAGTTTATTAATTCATTATTTAAAGTCTTATCCATTGTATATATATGATACACATACATTATTACTCATTATTGAAAAGAAACATGGTCCTTTTATAAGAATTTATAGGAAACTGTAAACATTTTTAGCGGCTCGGGTTATATTTCCAAACAAACGTTTATATAGGGTCAAAATCATTATTACTAATAACATGACACTAAAATGACATTGACCTTCAAGGTCATTTTTTTTCCTTTGGACATTTAACAACTGTTACATGATTTATTAGAAATAAGACATGTTAGAAATGGTAGATATTTATATGAAGGTAAAATTGTTAAAATCAGTATAAAATGTGTTGATGTTAAAACCCATTTATATTTCATAATCTTTTGGTAACATGAGACGACTTGTTTACACACATAAAGTTAGATAAAATGCAGCTCACGTGCGCGGTCTTCATTATAATAATGAAATATAAATGTGCAAGCTTTTAAAGGAAATTTAGTCACAAAACTATAACTAAAAATATACAGAAGTGCACAAAAGTGATGGTGCGAATTTAAGTAGGATCATGAAAACATTACTATAAACGTAATCAAATAGGTAGCCAACTATACAGTTAATGTTGGAATTGTTAATTATTGTCATGTCGCAAGTTCTAAATTACTAGCTACTATTAATATGATCGTTAATCTTTGCAAAGGTTTAAAAACAGATTCGGGAAAGAACATTTTTGTTCTCAGAATTATTATAATTAAACATGCGGCGAAACAAACGTTTAATGTTGTAATATTGTCCTTGTAACATTGTCAAACTGAATCCGTAAAGAACGCTAAAAACGGAAAAATGAAAATGTAGTAGACAAGGTTTAATTGAGTCTATTCGTAGACGGTAGGTGCCAGTACTGACTTAAGTAGACTTCAACGTATCTCGCAAATTTAACTACTAAAATAAACAGGACAGCACGATAGTAAGCCAATATCACCCATGCCAATACTCAGTATGCGACATTAAATTTAGCCCTAGCAGGACAGCAACTAATATAGCTTAAAGTGGTTGAAAAACTTAAACAGAGAATAAACGTTTTGATCTCTATTTTAAAGAATACTGTAAATCACACTTTGAGCCAAACATAATCTTAAAAAGGCAGTATGCCGAAGTGATAAGTCAAATGTTTACGTGAATGCCCAATGTTTTATTCTAGATTAACTTCACTTTTAAGCAGGTCTGCGAATTTTTCCGCAACGGCAATGACAGGTGCATTTGTATTACCGGATGTTACTTCTGGAAAAACAGAGGCATCACAGACGCGAAGGTTTTTTATTATACCCCCACAAACGAAGTTTAGGGGGGTATATAGGAGTCAGCTTGTCGGTCGGTCGGTCCGTCCGTCCGTCCGTCGGTCCACATCATGGTTTCCGGACAATAACTAGAGTTTGGAATGAGGTATTGTTATCAAACTTGGTATATAGCAACCTTATGTGGAAACTCCGGTTGGTATTGCATTTGGACCCTCTGGGGTCAAGGTCACCGTTACTAAAAATAGAAAAATGGTTTCCGGACAATAACTAGAGTTTGGAATGAGATATCGTTATCAAACTTGGGGTATAGCAAGCTTATATGAAGACCTGGGTTGGTATTGCATTTTGGCCCCCTGGCGTCAAGGTCAAGGTCACCGTTACTAAAAATAGAAAAATGGTTTCCGGACACTAACTTGACTTAGGAATGAGATATTGTAATCAAAGTTGGTGTATAGCAAGCTTATATGAAGACCTTGTTTGGTATTGCATTTGGACCCCCCGGGGTCAAGGTCACCGTAACTAAAAATAGAAAAATGGTTTCCGGACAATGACTAGAGTTAGGAATGAGATATTGATATCAAACTTGGCGTATAGCAAGCTTATATGAAGACCTGGGTTGGTATTGCATTTGGCCCCCCTGGGGTCAAGGTCAACGTCACCATTAGGAAAAATAGAAAAATGGTTTTCGGACAATAACTAGAGTTAGGAATGAGATATTGTAATCTAATTTGGTGTAAAGGAAGCTTATATGAAGACATGGGTTGGTATTGCATTTGGACCCCTAGGGTCAAGGTCACTGTTGCAGTGTTACTAAAAATAGAAAAATGGTTTCCGGACAATAACTAGAGTTAGGAATGAGATATTATTTTCAAACTTGGCGTATAGTAAGCTTATATGAAGAGCTTGGTTGGTATTGCATTTGGGCCCCCTTGGGTCATGGTCAAGGTCACCGTTACGAAAAATAGAAAAATTGTTTTCAGACAATAAGTAGAGTTAGGAATGAGATATTGTAATCTAATTTGGTGTATAGGAAGCCTTTATGAAGACCTGGGTTGGTATTGCATTTGGACCCCTAGGGTCAAGGTCACTGTTACAGTGTTACTAAAAATAGAAAAATGGTTTCCGGACAATAACTAGAGTTAGGAATGAGATATTGTAATCAAACTTGGTGTATAGCAAGCTTATTTCAAGACCCGAGTTGCGATTACAATTAATTGAAATATTTCTTTGTACACAGTTGATAGTTTGTGTTCAAATTTTTCTTCAGACTACTTTTTTTCAAAAAGTCAAAGTTGCAGGTGGGGGTATTAATCACCTTCAGTGATAGGTCTAGTTCCTTTTACTTTAAGGTCTGGATCTACCACTGACGTACTGTTATCTTTCTTTCCCATCTTACATGTACTGGTTGAATGATTAATGTTTGTAGCTATATGACGAATCATACATCTCCAGAAATCATCTGATCTAAATTCATGTTGAGAACAAAATGATGCTTTATTAATGCTTAAATCTGCACCTAGTTCTTGCATTGCTTGAGTTGATATAAATTCATCAAACATCCGGATACCTGCTAGTAAACCATCTACATCTCGCTGGTCATTAAGAATGTTTGTATCTAATAAAGGGCTGTCAAAAGGATCAATACCTTGTAAACGTACTGTGCCTGTACTTTTTGGATGTAACAAGACTATAGCTACAGAAACTCCATAAATATCTTGGTAGCGATTTATTAAGTCGGCAGCAGTGTTATCATTGTAATTCAAAATATTATTGTCCCCGACAAAGAAAGGTTGCAGCAAAAACTGAATGTCTGGTCTTTTGTTGTTAAGTTTTGAGTTGTCAAAATGCATAAATGATGTTCCTTCAGTAATCGCAGTATAAACGCCTGATCCGAACAATGCATATTGGATTTTTGGCCATACTCCCCTGAAGTTTTCTGGGACAAGACCAATTGATTGATTGATTTTAGCATTTAATATAACACTCACATGGTCATCTAGTCTTTGTCCTACTGGTAAATCCTTGATCAGTGGTATATCTAAGTCTTCCAAATGTTTCCTTGGACCAATTCCAGATAATAAAAATAATTGTGGCGACTTAATAGCGCCTGCTGATAATATAACATCCCTTCTAACCCTTACATATCGTTTTCTTCCATGTTTTATGAAATAAACACCATTTGCAACATTTTTGTCAATTTTGATCTTAGTTACAAAAGTGTTAAGGCCATTTTTTTTTTATATTTTGGTTTACTGATTTTTTCCAAAAAAAGGTAGGGTCGGGGGCGGGGAAAAAAAAAAAAAAAAAAAGTTTTCATAACTATAAATGTGGTGCATACATATACATAGTACTTACTAGAGCAATGAAATTAAATACATCGCCGATTGTCTATTCCAAAGATTGTTTAAATACACAAAAAAAACTTTTGCTCATATTGCCATTGTTTAAAAACACATATGAAATCTACACACAATGACTTATGACAAGTGGCAAGCGAGCTCTTCAAAAGAATCTGTCATTCTTTGATGTTTACACACTGCTGTGTAATCTGAATCATCAAAGGTGCCGAAAATCAGCTGACTTGCACTCATTTCTTTATAGATCAGATGTTAAAAAAAAACTGTCAAGAAAAGATTACACAAAGTCATGTTCAATTTTGCCCATTGTGAAAATATTTTTATCGGATAATTAGCGGGTCAATTTTTGACATAAAAATCTATTAAAAGTAAGTGCGGGCTTTTTTTTTATTTTGTTTGTTTGAAACCTGTATTCAATCTGCTTTTAAAGACTTTTTTTTTTTGTTAAATCTGAAAATACTGATCTTGTCAATTGCAGCAGATTTCTCTCGCTCTGTCATTGAATGTAATTTCCTACGTAATTTGGCGTGTTTTTTTTTTTGTTTGGTTGTTTGGTTGTTTTACATTTTTACGCATTTCGACCTTCAATGCATTGATGAAATATGATCAAAGCCTAATTATAATTCTGTGAGAATGGCTTGACCCCATTTAACAGACATTCTTTCATAATACACCAATAAACACTTTGCCCAACTAGCAGACGACAGGCTATTCTCGAGTAAAGATAACCGGTTGCGTATCTCACTGTATAAATCGTAGGTAAAATAGTCTGGCATGTGGTAGGTTTAACAGTTAATTAAAATACTTACCGCGACATTTCTTTGACAAGTCGTATTATTAGCAGCGTATTTCAAGACAACACAGAATTTTTTTGGGGGCAGATTTTTTTTTTTTTTTTTTTTTTTTTTTTCCCAAAATACAGAGTCGGCGGGTCTGTAAACCGAAATATCAAAAAATAATGGCCTAATGGAAACATCAAGGTTTGATTTTTTACCTTGTTTACCAAGATACTCTAGACCTGTACTACTGCGTACGCCATTACGAACCGTAATTTGTGCCCTACTAAATCCAGTTTGTGATGCACCATTATAATCTGTCTCGGTGTACCCCATTTGTTTTCCAGCGTCCAGACGTGAGTACGATAGGAATCAGATACTGCAATCGGTCCACCACTTCCATGGTAATCTGGTGTCTTTAAATCTGGTACTTTTATATCTTCTGCTTTTTTAAAATAAGGCAAGAGATCAGCATATCCCCATCCTATACAACCATATTTTGTTACCCATTCATTGAAATCAAATGAACTTCCTCTTGCATAGAAACAGGCATTTATAGAACTTGAGCCACCTAAAACTTTCCCTTTGTTCATTATGGTCTTTTTTTCTTTAAGTCCTTGAAAACTTCCGTCTTCCGTTTCACTTTTAAATTGCCATGCGAAGTCCGTTGGTAAAAAGCTAAAAGCCTGTCCAGGTACATGTATATTCTCGTCTTTATCGAAGTGGTTCCCGGCTTCCAAAAGGAGGATTCTATTATTTGCGTCTTCTGCTAATCTTGCAGCTATGACAGATCCAGCAGACCCTCCACCAACAATGACGTAATCGTATTCAGTCCTAATATCATCCGTCACCAATAACTCACCAAGACTCGGTTTGTTTATATATCTTGAAACGAGCGGTAAGACCACAGATAAAAAAGAATGACAATAGCTTTATTTTTATCTAACATTATTCCTTCGATATATTTTAAAGTTAGAAAAGTTAGAAATGTTATCTGCATATATTCCTGAATCAGATTTTACCTAATGTTAACCGCTTTAAAACCAAGAAATTGGCAAATGTATCTTAAACAGGTCAACCATGACATAACTCTCTGCTCGTAATATCCTATCTATCGTGTTATCCTAGCTATAACTAAAGTCGTAGATTTCATTATTAAAGCATGACTGTCGCACAAAAAATGACCGTCAATTTGGAGCCGCGGTTTCTCTATTGACAAACAAATCAGGAATCCGCAGAACTACCGATTAAGTTGCAAAGTTTATTCAGGGATAGCTCTAATGTATTTACTACGTGCATTGACATCTGCAGAAGAGCTTTGACTTATTGCAGGCTCGGGTTTTAAATGTGACCTTGCACATTTATAAATCATTTATTTACTTATGAAAATTTATAATTCTAAAAGAATTTACAATTCCTCCTACGGCAAGACACATGTAGTTGAATACCGAAAATGTAGATTAGTTGGTTGTATTGGTTATATTAGTTGGTAGCATTGGTTGTATTATATCTATAATTTTCGGTAACAAATTCATTTTTGCTCTGCTTGTCAAAGGTATAGCTGAATCTTTTGACTTGACATCTTTGGCATCGGTATATATAGCTAAGCTTATCTCATAAAGCTCTGGGGTGAGGTTTTGTGATGTCATGCCTTCAGATGAGCCAAAATATTTCAAGAAAATCCAACTTTCCAACAAATAAACAAACAGTGAGCTTTACAGCACACGGTATTTACGCAGTTTATGCAATATAAGCTTATTTCACGATTCTCATTTCATTAAAAGTGAATTAGGCTTTAACTAAGACGTACTCAAAATGCTACACTTCAAGGCTTGAAGTCGAACAAAGAAGAGGTTGATGAAGTTCGAGATACTGCACTCTTGACAATATTTGCAATACCATTATGGACTTGTAGAGTACAATTGGAATGTATGTGCTATTATTAACTTCACTAATTTTCCTTCCGCAGCTTTTGTCACACAGAGCATTAGGCATTAGTGCAGACTTCCTTTATCTAAAAGTTTGAACTGCCATTTCCCTGCTCAGAATTCATTTTAAACTAAGGTCCTTTTCCTTACATGTAATGGTGCGAATTTTTAACATGCATACATTCCTAGGACCTGAAACTGTACATGTCTCGATCAATCTTTTTGATACCACAAGAGCGCCTTCATCAATCCATTTGATACCTCAAGAAAAGCGTATTTTATTTTAGATGTACCACACATGCTCTACTGAAAACTATTAGAAATTAAACAAAGGTCGTTTGTGGATATTTCCGATCCTTAAATATCGTTCAGCACGACATTATTGTTGTGCTTGTTGTTTTTTTAGTTTTTTTCTATTCAGGCTTTTTCTAGCTGGGTGGTTTCAGTATTCCTCACTTGAATACTGTATAATCATCCCTAGGATATCTGGCCTGCTGTTTAGATTTGTCTTTTGACATCATATCTGTAATATGCAGGCTTCATAACCTCTGGTCACCTTTCAAACATTACAATTTTATTTTGTTCCGCCCATTGCCTTTTCTCGTTTTGGGCACACGCATTCTTTTACTTGGAGACCACACGCTGCTTTTCTTTGAATGACACTAACTTGTCACATGGATGTTCCATGTTTATTCTAATTTTATCACAACATCAACGTGCCATATTCTGCATGTAAAGTAATTATATGTGGAAACATACCTTTCTAACTAAGATTATTCTACTTGAGACATAACCTTGACACCAGATATGCTTTTCATCGAATTTTGACATTCTTGCCACTGACTGAGTACCCTTTTGTACAATTTAATATCACACAGTTCCTCATAATCGGTATTATCAACAAGTGGTAAATATAAAATGAAGTCTTCCACTTACCAACGTACCATGACGTAGGCAATGTGCTGCTTTTAAGCAGAATGTTTAGTTAACATTTTAAATAAAAAATGATATATTTCGACAACTTACGAAGGACTCCTCGTGGACTATTTTGCAGGTGTCAACAAACAGCAACAGCTAATAATCCCGCGCCTTTGGCCAATAATAAAATGGGTCTAATCTTTCTAATTAATGCATACTTTGAGAATTTTGTTGTTAAAAACAAACACAATATTATTCTAAAAACCATATTTCTATGGGGATATTTTCTTCGGCTTAGTGATGTAATGAAGTTAAACAACAGGAAAAAAATGTTATCAGAACGCAAGAGTTAATCGAGATTATGGTAGCTGCGAAACTCTGTGTTGCAACGTTTCTAATTAAACCGACTTTTTTTAATTTATAGTAATATATTAATGTTGAATTGATCTCTCTGAAATAATGTGCAGTTGTAGGCAATAAAGTCACATTTCGTCAACATTTGTTGCCAGCAAACTCAATTTTGTTTAATCTTCCTTTTGTATCTTCAGATATAAAATAAAGGCGATGATAATGTTATTTTGTGATAGCATCAGGTTTAACAACAAGATGATCCTTATTACTTATGATACTTTGATACTGATTATCTAAACTTAAGGCGATGATAATGTTATTTTGTGATAGCATCAGGTTTACGATACAAGATGTTCCTTATTAATTTTAATACTTTGATACTGATTATTTAAACTACAGTTGTACTAGATTAGTTAATATAACAAGATGGACATAAACATGGGGTGATAAACAGTCTTAATAATTGGGTTTTGATGTCGATTGAAATGTTTGGTTGACTTTGTAACTTTGAGAACAGTTACTGACTTATTTTATGATTTTATATGGGAAGGTAAGGTAAAAATAAAATTATCAGTACTTATCAATGCATACAAAGAAGAGTGATCTTTATAGTTATATCTACAGAGTTGAAAAATAGAATGGTTTAAAAGATGTGTTAGCAATGGCAAAAGTAAATGCTATAAGCTAACAAACAAATTGTTTAATATTGATAAAGTTTCAGCACTAGAAAACTATTTTGTCATTTGATTATTATTAAGATAAGAAATCTGGATTGATGTTGGAGTTTGTAGATGAACTTTGCGTTAATAATGTTGAGCAAATATTACATATGCCACTATTTTACAGTCACAACTTTTTATTTTAGCAGAAATTAGATATATTTCTACATTCAGACATTGTATAATAAAGGAATCAGATTTGTCAAAGACATTCTAACTGTACAGGGTGATTTTGTAGATATTATGTATTTAGAAGAGTTTAAAACAGGCAATAAATACACATGCAAAACTTAATATTTTTATTAGTCACATACCTTTCGAATATTTTAAGTTAATATATTAATATGCACTTGTAGAATATTAGTACTGTTCCACTGAGACGGTTTTACTGTCTGTATGTTTCGCTACTTAAATTTTAAAATTATACAATTTTACATAAAGTTTTTTATAAACATAATCTGCATATCTTTAAATTTGTAAGTATGAAGCGACTTTGTAAGTATAAGTTTTCAAGTATATAAATTATCGTACAATTATTAAAAGCACAATAATAAAAATGTTACTGTTTTGTTACTGCAAGTATGAACTGTATTTTTTCAAGCACCGTCTCTATACTACTGTCACAAATTCTTGTATGATGAATGTAAATGATATATAATGTTTGGTCTAAAGCATTACAATGTATGAAAAGAAAGATAACCGCTGAAAAAAATACAATAAACTATTTATTTATTGTAACACACAATCTTTGTTTAACGGTATTTTTCTTTAGTACATAATAAAACAGTTTTGAAAAAAGAACTTTAATGCAGCGTTATAAGACATGTAAGATTAAATGTTTATATAACATTTAGTTGGCACATGATCAAAAACAATGAAATCAATACTGTAATTTGTCTTTGTAAAAGAAACAATTACCTGATAATATGTTATTTCATCTGTCGTTTTTTTTTCTTCATTTCTTTTTTCCCATGAATTTCAAAATATTTTTCTCTGCCTTTCAATTTTTAAATCTCTTTCATTCTTTTAACAATTCTTTGAAAAAGATATTCATTATCTATATTCATTATATCTTTACTTTGCTTTCTTGTTCATTTATAAGCTCTTGTCTTCTTCCATAATTATGATTTTGCAACCACTGTCAGTTTTTGTTGAATAAGAAAATATGGTCTATTTCACTGCAGTTAGTTTAATTGATAAAATAATTATTCTAGTGATTTATTGTGCTTCGTAACAGATTGATTGTTGCATCGGACTGAATGAGAGATTCCAAAATTTGCCGTCTGGTAAATGACTAACCCCCATCATGCTAAATCATCTAAAAATGGTCAGAACTTGTGCCCTAATGTCAAAAGGAATTCCTTCACTCGACAGAAATCCTCAATGATAGTATAATCTTTTGAGCATTTTTCCAAGTAATTTATAAGATTGTGATACTGTTTGTTCATATCTTGAAAATGCCCTTTTTCTTCATTTTTGAATTAGTCTATAGCATCTAACACCAGCTAAATAAATGTTTCGCTTCATAAAAAGGGGTATACCTTTCAATAGATTATTAACACAGTCATTGACATTGTCTAAATTATGGGGACTTGTTTATATTGATTGAAAACTGCCTGTTTAAGAACATATAACAAAATACATGTAAATCGATTTTGTTTAAAACAAACAAATTGATCTTTTAAGAATCTCTTTTGAAGGTAGATTTTTTAGTGTAAATTAAGGTCACCTTTTCATCTCAGCCAATATCAAAAACTTATGAACAATGTTAAATGTTGAAGTTGAGCCTATTTCTTTGTCATCTAAGTAATACCTCTCATTTGTTCATATTCTCTTTACATGCATTGGTAGTTCCCACGTAGACCACAGTAAGAAATGTTCATTCTGGATATTAGAACTTTCTCATTGGAATTTAGTTGTGTCCAGTTCTTATCACATATTTGCAGTAATTATCAGCGCATTTCATTCAGTTAATTGCAGTAAAAGTTCGATCTGACTGTTTTACGGATGTTTTTCGGTGTAACATTTCATTGTTTTATTAAAGATATCAACAATACTATTAGCATGTAAACTTTTATCAAGCTTTTTTATCTGAATCTTCATTTCTAGCATTGTATCTTCCTGTGATTTGTATTTTATGTTCTTTCTTTCTAACTTAAATTCAAACTGATTTTTTGTCAACATTTTATTTTCATTGCATTTTTCAACAAATAATTTGTAATTTTAACTTATTTGTCTCATTCTTTTAATGTTTTAGAGATAATCCAGCCTGTCTTAATTTCTTTGTTAATTTCTTGTCTGTCAGATATCTGATAAGTTAACTGTATTATATAATTCTAATGACTTATTATTGATATCACTAGCATAAATTGTAAACACTGAAATAATGAACTTAATTTCAATTAATATATTTTTGTTACTTCCTACAAAAATATTATGGGACAGTGTGTAAATTAAATTATACAATGGTTATTCCTGAAACATTTTCATCCAAAAACAAAGACGATCAAGAAAATGATTTTTTGTAGTGACCCTAAATTGTCCTGTCAAAAAAGTACAAAAATATCGGGTGTTCTTTTAGGTGTTTTAAGAGGTGAATTTATAGACCATCTGAGTTTTACAAATAGCTTCAACATAGTTCGCTTCTGACATAGATTGTGACTACATTCAAGTTAATTGACGAAACGATGTATTAATCTAAAATATTTCAATATCTTATTGCATGGGTGAACGTATATAATAATTTTATCAAACATTGAATCGGTTCGCTTCAATATACCGGGTAATGTGCATAAATCATTAAAATATTAAGGATAAATACAAAAACTATAAGTATTCAAGTAATATGCACAACTATATTCACTATGTGCGTATGAATATTTAATGTGAATATTTTATTTAAAGTAGATTTGTCAACGTAACAGGAAAATTGATATTTTAAAATCAATTCAAAATCCAGTAACCAAAAAAAAACCTACATGTACAAACAAACAAACAAACAAGCAAGCAAACAAAGAACAAAAAAAAAGAAAACATTTTAAAGTAAGGTTTTGGGATGAATTTTTTACATATGCTTTCAATGTTTAGTTGATCCATTATTCAGTTGTTAGGGTGTGTTTCGAAAGTAAGTGGAGGTTGGTTTGTCTTTACTTTGATCGTACCATTTTAATTTTACAAGCTAAAGTTCTTTAAATTGAACACAGCTAGCATACTTGGTCAACATAACCTTAATGGCATTAACCATCTATTTCTGAGCTGAGGAAATTTCATTTTCAATTCATTGTGAAGATCCCTTTGGTCATTTGTTATTAAATGGCCAGTTACAACACTCGTTAAACAAAGATTTGTAAAGAATTGTTCACAAATTAAATGTTATATTGAAATCAATATCAAATTTTAAAATGTTATAAGAATTGTTCTAACACGACCTGCATTTTTCCCTATTGAACATAGAAGAACCGAAAGTGTGTGTTATTATGCAATAGGGAGTCCTACTGTTTAGACATATTCTATAATTTAGACATTGTGACTGGTAATCATTATTACATGTGAACGTAACACTATAACAATCTGGAGCAGCTGACAATAAGCTTACGGAAACAAATCAAAGGCGCAATTTTGCTTAATAGCAGTACGACAAGCATTTATTGTTTTATGTAACGTGTTAGAATCGAAAGTAATATATCCAAATCGGTGCATTTTATCGCGTTGATAACATCATCTGTTTTGTTCATCGCGATGCGGTGTCATTATATCACTCGGGCTACGCCCTCGTGTTGATATAATATACTACGAATCCGAACTCCAAACTCAGTTGATGTTTATTGAGCGAATAAAATCCACCAGTTTGGGACTACTATTATCTTAAATTATTGCTCATATATTAGCAAATCTTCATGGTACTCAGAGTTAAACCTTCTTGTTAACACACATAGAGTTGCAGCTCACCTTTGCAGTTTACATCATATCAAAAAAATACATTTTTAAACGAACGTCAATCGCACGACAGAAAAAGTTACGTATAAAGGAAAAATGACAAATATATACGTAAAAAGGTACTAAAGAGCATATTTAGCTTTCCACAAGTGAGTATGATGGTGCATATTCAAGTAGTATTATAAAAAGATTAGTTTAAAACGTAAGTTTATAGATAACTAATTATACGTTGATGTCGGTATTGTTTGTAATTGCCAATATTGACCTTTAATGTCGCATGCCCTGTTGCCTAGAATAATTTAGAGTACAATTTGATTCTTACTGTACTTAAAGATAAACATGCGGCAAAATAAACGTAAAATGTTGCGATAGTATAGTGGCTGATTTGTGCCATTCGTGTTTTCGTCCTGCGACCCCGCCAAGCGAAAAGCCACCATACGATAGTTATCCCCCGCCGATGGAATCGGGAGGGGGATATAGTTTTGGCGTTGTCCGTCCGTCCTTCCGTCCTTCCGAATTTCGTTTCCGGAGTAGTTCTCTGCAACTAATGGCTGGAATTCAACGAAACTTTATGGGAATGTTGATCAGCATGTGAAGTTGTGCACCTGGGTATTTTCGTCTGGATATTTTTAGTATTTTTAGTGTTATTGCCCTTGACTTAGAATTTCGTTTCCGGAGTAGTTCTCTGCAACTAATGGCTGGAATTCAACGAAACTTTATGGGAATGTTGATCAGCATGTGAAGTTGTGCACCTGGGTATTTTCGTCTGGATATTTTTAGTATTTTTAGAGTTATTGCCCTTGACTTAGAATTTCGTTTCCGGAGTAGTTCTCTGCAACTAATGGCTGGAATTCAACGAAACTTTATGGGAAAGTTGATCAGCATGTGAAGTTGTGCACCTGGGTATTTTCGTCTGGATATTTTTAGTATTTTTAGAGTTATTGCCCTTGACTTAGTAAAATTTTGTAATTTTCAACTTGTGTCGCATGTAACTCAAAAAGTATTTGACCTTGAATCATGAAACTTTACAGGAATGTTGATCAGTATGTGTAGTTGTGCACCTGGGTATTTTCGTCTGGATATTTTTAGTATTTTTAGAGTTATTGCCCTTGACTTAATAAAATTTTGTCATTTTCAACTTGTGTCGCATGTAACTCAAAAAGTATTTGACCTAGAGTCATGAAACTTTACAGGAATGTTGATCAGTATGTGTAGTTGTGCACCTGGGTATTTTTGTCTGGATATTTTTAGTATTTTTAGAGTTATTGCCCTTGACTTAGTAAAATTTTGCAATTTTCAACTTGTGTCGCATGTAACTCAAAAAGTATTTGACCTAGAGTCATGATATACTTTACAGGAATGTTGATCAGCATGTGTAGTTGTGCACCTGGGTATTTTCGTCTGGATTTATTTAGTATTTTGAGAGTTATTGCCCTTGACTTAGAAAATGTTTGCAATTTTCAACATGTGTCGCATGTAACTCAAAAAGGATTTGACATAGAGTCATTAAACCTTATTGGAAAGTTGCTCAGCATATTTAGTTTGTTCCTGGGGTTTCGCTTGTGGATTTATCCAGTATTTGTAGAGTTATTTCCCTTGACTTAGTAAAAACTGTTTCATTATGTTGTTATTTGATCCTTGAGTGCTTGAGTTAGAATCGAGCAATTTGATCCTGGAGTGCTTGAGTTAGAATCAACCAACTTAACAGGAATAATGATCAACATCACTAAATTACAGGAATAATGATTCACCTCACTGTGAAGCTATGAACCTGGGACTTTGCATGTGAATTTTTTCAGTTTTGTTAGAGTTATTGCCCTTGAATTACAGTAGTATAAATTTGCAATTTTCAACTTGGGGTTTGCTTGGGGATTTATTCAGTATTTGTAAAGTTCTTGCCCTTTACTTAGTAAAAAGATTTTTAGTTTTCAAAAAATATTTGACCTAGAGTCATAAGATTGACAGAACAGTGGCGCGGTGGGGGCACCCGTGTCCTATGGACACATTTCTAGTTTTTATTAAAGAAGAATTATAATGATTTGTTACAATAACATTTAAAAATATTTGAAAATTGTGAGATCCCTTCTTGATGCCTTGAAAATGGCAATGAAGTCTGGAGATTAAGATGTTTTTACATCTAGGTGAGCTATTGTGATCCCCCACCGTCCGTCGTCGTGCGTCGTCAGCAATTTCTTTAGACATCATCTCCTCAGAAACAAATGACTGCACAGCAACCAAACTTTACAGGAATGATCCTAGGGTGGTCCCTGCCAAAGTTGATCAAATGGTTCCGGTCTGTTGAATAAGTAGGTCACAGGGCCAGAAAAGGAGTTTCAAAAATACAAAATTAAAAAATCTTGTCTGAAAGTACAAGGCCTAGAGCTTTGATATTTGGTATATGATATAACCTATAGGTCCTCTACCAAAATTGTTCAAATTTTAGCCCTGGGGTCAAAATTGGCCCACTCCAGGGGGTCATAGATTTTCCTTATATGTATATAGTGAAAACTTAAAAATTCTTCTTGTTTGAAGGTACAAGGCTTCAAGGTCAAAGAATATTACAGTTTATGCCATGATTAATATATAAATAAAGCCTTATGTCTTCAGTTGTTGTGTTAATAATAACCAGTACTCGGCGGGGGATATAAATTTAACGAATTTGCTTGTTTTTTCATACGATTGTAAAAATAGAGGAACACGTAATCCTTAAAGAACGCAAAAAAACGGCAAAAAATGAAAATGTTGTATGCACAGTTTAATTGAGTCTGTTTATGGACAGTAGTGATAATTATTAGCTTCCGTTCACGCTCCTAGCACCGACGTAAACAGAATACAACATAACTTGCTATTTCATCTATTAAGATGAACTAGGCAACACAAGAATAAGTCAAAAGCTCGCCTGTCAGATAATAACGTTCAGAGATATACTAACATAGACTACTCTAAATCACACATAGCGTCAATATATATCTTATTAAAAGAAGTGTGTTCAAAGGATTTTTCTGATGTTTACAGGTATGTTCAATATTTTATTCTTGACGAAGTTCACTCTTAAGCATGTCTGCGAACTTTTCCGCAACGGCAATGACAGGTGCATTTGTATTACCCGATGTTACTTCCGGAAACACTGAGGCATCACAAATGCGAAGATTTTTCATTCCCTTTACTCTAAGGTCCGGATCTACCACAGACGTCATATCATCTTTCTTTCCCATCTTACATGTACTGGTTGAGTGATAAAAGCTGATAGCTATATGACGAATCATGCATCTCCAGAAATCATCTGATCTAAATTCATGTTGAGCGCAAAATGATGCTTTATTAATGCTTAAATCTGCACCTAGTTCTTGCATTGCTTGGGTTGATATAAATTCCTCGAACATCCGGATACCTGCTAGTAAATCAGCTACATCCCGTCTGTCATTGAGTATATTTGTATCTAATATAGGGCTGTCAAAAGGATCGGTACTCTGTAAACGCACGGTACCTGTACTCTTTGGATGTAACAAAATTATCATTACAGATACAGCATAAGCATCCTTGTAGTGGTCAATTAATTCAGCTGCAATAGAATCATTGTAATTCAAAATATCATTGTTCCCTATAAAGATAGATGAGAGCAAAAACTGAATGTCTGGACATTTTTTGTCAACTTTTGATTTGTCAAAGTGCATAAATGATGTCGCTTCAGTAATCGCGGTATAAACGCCTGATCCGAACAATGCATATTGGATTCTTGGCCATAATCCCCTGAAGTTTTCTGGGACGAGACCAATTGATTGATTGATTTTGGCATTTAAGATAACACTCACATGGTCATCTAGTCTTTGTCCTACTGGTAAATCCTTGATCAGTGGTATATCTAAGTCTTCCAAATGTTTCCTAGGACCAACTCCAGATAATAATAATAATTGTGGCGAATTAATAGCGCCTGCTGATAATATAACATCCCTTCTTGCCTTAACATATCGTTTTCTTCCGTGTTTTATGAAATAAACACCATTTGCAACATTTTTCTCAATTTTGATCTTAGTTACAAAAGTGTTGATGGAAACATCAAGGTTTGATTTTTTACCTTGTTTGCCCAAATATTCGAGCCCTGTACTACTGCGTACTCCATTACGAACAGTCATTTGTACCCTACTAAATCCAGTTTGTGATGCACCATTATAATCTGTCTCGTAGTAGCCCATTTCTTTTCCAGCGTCCAGGAAATGCCTCCAGACGCGAGTTTGATAGGAATCAGAAACTGCAATAGGTCCACCACTTCCATGGTATTCAGATGCCTTTAAGTCTGGTATCTTTACATCTTCTGCTTTTTTGAAATAAGGCAAGAGATCGGCATACCCCCAACCTTCACATCCATACTTTGTTACCCATTTGTTAAAATCAAATGAACTGCCTCTTGCATACGTACAGGCATTTATCGAACTTGAGCCACCTAAAACTTTCCCTTTGTTCATTATGGTCTTTTTTTCTTTAAGTCCTTGAAATCTTCCATCTTCCGTTTCACTTTTAAATTGCCATGCGAAGTCCGTTGGTACAAAGTTAAAAGCCTTTGCAGGTACATGTATGTTCTGGTCTATATCGAAATGATTCCCGGCCTCTAACAAAAGCACTCTATTATTTGCGTCTTCTGCTAATCTTGCAGCTATGACAGAACCAGCAGACCCTCCGCCAACAATGACGTAATCATACTCATTCTTGATATCATCCGTCACCAATAACTCACCAAGACTTGATTTGTTTATATATCTTGAGACAAGAGGATAGACAACAGATAACACAAGAATTACAAGCACATTATTTTTACTCAACATAATTCCTTTAGTTTATATTCCTTTTACGTTTATAGTATCTTCGTATGTAGCGAAACTAGATTTTGACCTACTGTATACCGATAATAAATCAAGAAATAAGCATTTCAACCAAGACATGACTCTCTACACATCTGATCCTATTTATACTATACAATGGAATACATTATAACTAGATTAGTATCTTTTAATAGTTAATATTCATTTACATATCAAGATAAATGTATACAACATGTTAAACTTTTTTAAATGCACTTGAAATATTTTTATCTGAATTACACTAGTTTTTATGTAAATATCTACTGAATTAAAGGATCTCTAACTTACATGATCAATTATATTCATGTACATTATAAAACTCTCCTAGTGGCTAAGGGGTTGCCTTTAAGGGTTGGGGCATTAATATTGCAACCACAGTTTATCGTAAAAGGCGACAAAAAGAGTTCGAATTACTGGAGTCTTTCAAGCGAGAGAGGTGGTTTTGACCCCTGATAATGCTTAAAATTTCTAACAACCGAGGTTAACCAAAAGCATCTTTACAGTTTCTGCGCCATGTGCCCTAAATTGTGTTTGTACGCTGTAAAACCAAACAAACATTATATAACGTATAGTTTGTGATTCAAGTGCATTTAGGATGATATATATATACATGTATATAAGAAATTTATAACCTATTGTTTTAGATTCAAGCTAGTACTATTAAAAAGTATTAAGAAGTATTCCAATGTACACTTCTCATGATTTTGTCAATATACATTAAGAATTATAAAGGCGGTGTTTAACTGCAAATAAACACTGGTAAGGTTACATGTATATGCAGCTGTTATGCTAATGCTTATGCAAATGATGTTATATGACTGTCTGATATGCCAAAGGTGTTGTGTAGTATTCATGACAGGTGTTGTTTGTATGATATGCATGTCATGATGATGATGTTGTATAATAAACATGTTGTAAAATCATATTTATGACACACCCGTGTCGCTTTTGCGACTCTGTAGGAGTTTTTGTTGAAAATTGAGTACCGCTCAAGCCGGTGGTAAGGGTCGTGAGGTATGTTGTACATTTTTGTTATCCCTCATGTACAGACTTAATCAAACCGAGTCTGCATTTTTAATGTAATTTTGCTGATTTTAATTAATATTTTCCAGATATCTATTAAAAAGATTTTAATAAAAAAGGCATAACATGTCTTTATAGCTTTGTAACCAAGATTGCAAAAGATTATTTTGTTTTCAGAATTTTTTCTTGAGATCACGTTGCACTTAGAACACCTGTTAAAATGTCGAAATATATTTTAAACTATTAGCAAGAAAGAGGTCTACTTATTTGTCCTTAAAAAAGTTTATGTAAAAAGGTAGAAATTTTTATAACACATAAAATCGAAGTTAATTATCATTCTAAAAACGGTCAGAACATATGAAAATGTATGTTCATGAAAAAGTTTAAAGTTTTCAGTTTACCTGATTTAATCCTGTCTCCGATTTTAATGCGAATCCAAAGAGAAAATTTAAAAGTTTAATTAGTCTCAGGAAAATACAGTCATTTTTGTAAAACTACAATGCACAAAGCTCAGATATTAGTTATGTAGCATTTCCTAGTAAATCACTCGTAACATATATATAAACCATAAACCGTTGTTAAAAAATTGCAAAACTTTGATTATCACTGACTGATTGAGTTTGTGTTATGAGATGGCCGAGCTGCCCATTTAGGCATTAAATGAAGCTTGCGCTGCCGAATATGGATCCCGGACATATTACCAGGCATGTCCTTAAAGGATCAATATTGAAGCACAAATTGGTGATAATGTACTTCCATGCCATTTCACGGATATTAATTTTCTGTTAAAATAGGTCACTGAACGGCTAATGAAAACCTAAATGTAAAATATCCGGAGACAATATAAAAAGGAGGTAACCCCAAGCAAAAAAGGTCTGCCTTTCTTACCATATTAGGGGTTCACGCACTCTAGCATATTTTTTGTCGTCTTTCCTTTACTTTTCTTAAAATCTTAGGATATTTTCCTCAAGTTTAATTTATTTTAAATGTTTTTTGCTCATCTACAGGCGTGTAGCTTTAAGTGCCGATTGCAATCGGTAAATTACTCCTTTTCGGACATGACAATATTGTTATCAAATAGAGTCTATTTGCAAAATACTAATTCCAAAAATTCACTCCTCAAACACACAATCTTGTACATTACTGACGAATTGAAAATATGTAAAAGTGCGTATATCCTTCCAGTACTTGATCATTGTCATGCGTTTTTGGGAAAGAGCACACATATACTTCAACAAAGTGAATTCGGCACAAAAGGAACTGCCTAAATAATACTTACCCAACCTATAGGTCTACCAACATTGGATCTTTTAATAAACTTAAATGGCTGCAATTTAATTTTAGTAGCGATTATGAATTATAAATCTTTAAACAATCTGATACCGTTGTATAAGAGTGAAAGTTTTAATTTCTCTTACAATGTATTACATAATTTCCGCTCGATCGCTCATAAAGATCTTATTCTTTAAACTATATTTCATACTAATTATATAAAGGATTCGTTTTCTTATTTCAACATTTCTTTATGGAACAAATATCCTACTACTACAAAACAATGTTTGATATTAAATTCTTTAAAAACAGCAGCTGTAAAAATCGTTTCCTTATTCTACAATAAGAAACATTTTGAAAATCGAAATGCCAGAAAATGACAAATATAAAACTAAGATACAACAGTACAAAATCAGCTATTTCCAAAAGTGGGTATAATGGTGCATAACCAAGTAGTGTTATGAAATCATTTGTATAAAAATGTATGTTAATAGGTAACTAATTAAAATGTTAAGATCAGTATTGTTTATAATTGTTAACATTAACGTTAAATGTCACATGTCATGTTGGCAAGATTCCTAGTTACTAGCAACTATTTAGACCTACTGTACTCAAAGATGTATATATAGATGCGGCAAAATAAACGTAAAATGTTGCGATAGAATGATGGCTGATTTGTGCCATTCGTGTTTTCGTCCCGCGACCCCGCTAAGCAAAAAGTCAGTGATAGTGTCTTTGTTTGATTGTAAAAAAAGAGAAAAAACGGAATCTTAAAATGAACGCAAAAATGTGCAAAGAATTGAAAATAATGCATGCACAGTTTAATTGGGCCTGTTTATGGGCAGTAGTGATAATTATAAGTTCACTCTCCAAGCACCGACGTAATTAAAATACAACAATAAGTCGCTTTTTCATCTATTTAGATGAACTAGGCAACACAAGAATAAGTCAAAAGCTCGCCTTTCAGTGCTCAGTATGTGGCATTTGAAACTGGCCCAAGCTGGATAGCCACAAACTTAAAAGGATGAAAAGCCTGATAAGAATGTTTATAGATATACTAACATAGACTACTCCAAATCACAAAATAGCGCCAAAATATATCTAATTAGAAGTTGCAAGTTAAAAAAGAATTCTGATGTTTTACAAGGGATGGTTTAATGTTTTAAATTCTTGCTAACTTACTTTTTAAGCATGTCTTGCGAAAACTTTCTGCAACGGCCCAAATTTGACAGGTGATTTGTAATTATCCCGATTGGGTTACTTCGGGGAAAACACTGGAGGGCATTCAACAATTTGCGAAGAATTTTTCATTTTCCCCTTTCAACTTCTAAGGGGTTCCCGGATTACCAAACAGACGGTCATATCAATCTTTCTATTCCCATTTACATGTACTGGTTTTGAGTGATAAAAGCTGATAGCTATATGAACGAATCATGCAAATCTCCAGAAATCACTGATCTAAAATTTTCATTGTTGACCCCCCGCAAAATGGATGCTTTATTAAAATGCTTAAATATTGCACCTAGATCTTGCCATTGCTTGGGTTTGAATATAAATTCCTCGAACATCCGGATACCTGCAGTAAATTTCATCTAAACATTCCCGTCCTATCATTGGGAGTATTATTTGGGTATCTAAATATAGGGCTGTCAAAAAAGGATCTGTACTTTGTAAACGGCACGGGTACCCCGTACTCTTTGGGATGTAACAATTTACTTATAGCCAAACAGGATACAGGCATTTAGTATCCTTTTTGGTAGGTGGTCAAATTAAATTCAGGATAAGTTAATAATGCAATTGGGGTAATTTCAAAAATATCATTGGGGTTCCCTATAAAGGAAAGATGAGAGCAAAAACTGAAATGTCTGGACATTTTTTTGTTCAACTTTTGAATTTGGGCTAAAGTGCATAAAATGATGTTTTCCTTCAGTAAATGGCGGTATAAAGTTCCCCTGACCCAAACAATGCATATTCAAAATTTTTGGCACCATAACTCCCATGAAGTTTTTTCTCTTGACGAGACCAAATTGAATTGATTGGATTTTAGGCATTTAAAAATAACTTCACAATGGCATCTATCTTTGTCCTACTGGTAAAATCCTTGATCAGTGGTATACGTTTAAGTCTTCCAAAAGGTTTTCCTTGGGACCTTTCCAGATAATATTATAATAATTGTTGGGCGGAAAATTAAAAGCGGGCCTGCTGAATAATATTTTACCATTCCCTTTAAAGCCCTTTACAAAATTGTTTTCTTCCATGTTTTATGAAATAAACACCACTTGCAACATTTTTGTCAATTTTGATCTTAGTTACAAAACTGTTGATGGAAACATCAAGGTTTGATTTTTTACCTTGTTTACCCAAATATTCGAGCCCTGTACTACTGCGTACTCCATTACGAACCGTAACTTGTATCCTGCTAAATCCTGTCTGTGATGCGCCATTGTAATCTATCTCGTAGTAGCCCATTTCTTTTCCAGCGTTCAGGAAATACCTCCAGACGCGAGTTTGATAGGAATCAGAAACTGCAATAGGTCCACCACTTCCATGGTAGTAAGATGTCTTTAAATCTGATATTTTTACATCTTCTGCCTTTTTAAAATAAGGCAAGAGATCGGCATATCCCCAACCTTCACATCCATACTTTGTTACCCATTTGTCGAAATCAAATGAACTGCCTCTTGCATACATACAACCATTTATTGAACTTGAGCCGCCCAAAACTTTGCCTTTGTTCAGTATGGTCTTTTTATCTTTAAGTCCTTGAAAACTTCCATCTTCCGTTTCACTTTTAAATTGCCATGCGAAGTCCGTTGGTAAAAAGCTAAAAGCCTTTGCAGGTACATGTATGTTCTGGTCTTTATCGAAATGATTCCCGGCCTCTAACAAAAGCACTTTATTATTTGCGTCTTCTGCTAATCTTGCAGCTATGACAGAACCAGCAGACCCCCCACCAACAATGACGTAATCATACTCATTCTTGATATCATCTGTTACCAATAACTCACCAAGACTTGGTTTGTTTATATATCTTGAGACGAGCGGATAGACCACAGATAACACAAGAATTACAAGCACATTATTTTTACTCAACATAATTCCTTAAGCTTATATTCCTTTTACGTTTATGGTATCTGCGTATGTAGCGAAATAAGATTTTACCTACTGTATAACGATAATAAATCAAGAAATCAGCATATCAACCATGACATGACTCTCTACTCATCTTATCCTATTTACGAGTATACTATCCAATGGAATACGAAATAACTAGATTTGTATCTTTTGATATTTTTAATATGCACTTGAAATATTTTTACCAGAATTACACTAGTTTTATGTAAATATTGGCTTAATTTAATCTACTGAATTACAGGGTCTTTCCTCTACATTAAATGCGCACTTATATACATGTACATTATAAAACTCTCTTTGTTAATGCTAAGGGGTTGTCTTTAAGGGCTAAGGAAGCCTAAGTTTATGGGCACGAATTATTAGTGTTTCAAGCGGTAGATTTGGTTTTGACCACTGGTGTTGCTTTAAGTTTCTGGCAACCATGGTTAGCCAAAATTATCTTTCCAGTTTCGGCGTCATATGACCTAAATTATGTTGGTAAGTACGTATCCTGTAAAACCAAACAAACATTAAATAACGACTGTGTGCTTCAAGTGCTTTAGGATGAAATATATAAGAAATATTTAACGTATCGTTTTATATTCAAGTACTATTAAAGATCTTGTATGTTGTAATCTAGGTTGTAACCACACTTAAGTGAAAATTTATATATGTATATAATTTTGCTTTTAAAACAATATTCAAACATAGAAGAATATGTAAAATATGTACTGCAAATATTTGTCCACATTATATGTAATCATTAAAATATATGCATTCATTTCTTATTGAAAAATTTGACTTAGAAATTATAGAAAATAATGTCCTTATAACCTCCCTTTGATATGTAAATTTGGTAAATATCTTTTTGGAACTTACAATATTGATAAATCTTCATTTGAGCATTATAAAAATAAAAAATGAGTGACAGGATCTTTATGATGATTTCTAACACTCTTTGTGATTTTGTCAATATACACAAAGAAGAAAAAAGCGGTGTTTAACAGCAAATAAACACTGGTTAGGGACTACATGTATATGCAGCTGTTATGCTAATGCTTATGCAAATGATGTTATATGACTGTCTGATATGCCAAAGGTGTTGTGTAGTATTCGTGACAGGTGTTGTATATACGATATACATGGCATGATGATGATGTTGTATAATGTACATGTTGTAAAATCATATTTATCGCACACCCGTGTCGCTTTTGCGACTCTGTATGAACGGTATTAATCGACAGAAGTAATTTAATAGGAGATCAAAGTAAAAAAGTATAAAAAAATTTTATAAATTACAACAGCAGGTGACAAGAGTCGTGTGATATTGGTAAACTGTTGCACCGTACTTTACTTCAGTGTTCTTACATTTTTGTTTAAAATTGAGTACCGCTCAAGCCCGTGGTAAGGGGCGTGAGGGATGTTGTATATTTTTATTATCCCTCATGTACAGACTTAATCAAACCGAGTCTGCATTTTTTAATGTAATTTTGCTGATTTTAATGCTCCCGGTGAATCAATTTTTTCCAGATATTCATTAAAAAGCTTTTAATAAAAAAAGGCATAAGATGTCTTTACAAGATTGCCAAAGATGATTTTGTTTTCAGAATTTTTTCTTGCGATCATGTTGCACTTAGAAATTATTGAAATAATTGTTCTTGAAATGTCGAAATATATTTATTTCGCAAGAAAGAGATCTACTTCTTTGTTCTTCAAAAAGTGTATGTAAAAAAGTAGAGATTTTTATAACACATGAAATGGAAATTAATTACCATTCTAAAAACGGCCAGAACATATGATAATGTATGTTCATGAAAAAGTTTTTAGTTTTCAGTTTACCTGATTTTATCCTGTATCCGATTTTACTGCGAAGCTTAACAGAAAATTTAAAAGTTTAAGACTCATGAAAATACAGTCATTTTTGTAAAACTACAATGCACAATGCTCAGATATTAGTTATGTAGCATTTCCTAGTAAAAAACTCGTAACATTTATAAACCATAAACCGTTGTTAAAAAATTGCCAAACCTTGATTATTACTGTCTGATTGAGTTTGTGTTATAAGATGGCCGAGCTGCCCATTTAGGCACAAATTTTCGTTTTTCCTTTACTTTTCTTAAAATCTTAGGATATATCCTCAAGTTAAATTTATTGGACATGTTTTGGCTCATCTAGAGGCGTGTAGCTTTAAGTGCCGAATGCAATGGGTAAATTATTTCCTTTTCGGACATGACAATATTGATTTATAAATAATACATTATACTGGTATTATAAGTAGACTCTATTGACAAAATACTAAATGCAAGAATTTCACTCCTCAAACACATCATCTTCTACCTTACTGACGAATTAAAAATGTTATATAAAAGTGCTTATATCCTTCCAGTACTTGATCATTGTCGTACGATTTTGGGAAAGGGCACACATATACGTCAACAAAGTGAATTCGGCACAAAAAAAGAACTGCCAAAATAATACTTAACCAACCTATATAAGTCTACCAACATTGGATCTTTTAATAAACTTAAATGGCTGCAATTTAATTTTAGTAGCGATTTTGATTTATAAATCTTTTAACAATCTGATACCGTTATATAAGAGTGAATGTTATATTTTCTCTTTCAATGTATTACATAATTTACGCTCGTTCGCTCATAAGGATCTTATTCTTAAAACTATAACTCATACTAATTATTTAAAGGATTCTTTTTCTTATTTCAGTATTTCTTTATGGAACAAAAAACTATTACTACAAAACAATGTTTGACAAAAAAGCAGCTGTAAAAATCGTTTTTTTTATTCTACAATTAGATACATTTTGAAAATTGAAATGCCAATTGCAACCACTTTGTATTGAAGCTGTTGTTATTGTTGGTATTATTAATATTAATATTATTGATAATAATATATATGATTAATACAAGTGACAGTCGGATGAATTAAGGAAAATATCGTAGCCTTACATTATAGTATATACTTAAATTTTTGTTCGTACAAAAATCAATTTTTTCTTTGTTATTGTTAAATCAGAATGCTGTTCTGTGAAAAAGTCTACATCATCATAGTTTATACAAGTTGCAGACGAAATATACAGGAGGATCTAGCCTGAATGAATTTAATTACCGTTTTGGATACTTTCAGCATCCGCCTTTCTTAAGCAGACAATATATAGTTGGGCTTCCTTCAAGAAGCGGCTAGGTAATTTGTATCATTTTAAACCATAAACAACAAGTATATAACCGGGATACCCTTCTCACCCATGTACCCGAAATGCATGATCTTTGTATTCATAAAAAAATCAACCGATCACAACCGATCTATTCAACAGATTTGCACGTGCCCTACGGGTTCGAGCAAAAGAAGTTCGACAATATATTTTTGTTATCAATAACAGCAAAATTTGTTGCAGAATCTCCGCAACTAGGATTATATAGGGAAATGCCCGAAGGACTTCAACTTTGTCAAGAAAAATGTGTGCAATAATATTCCGCAATATGGGGATTTCTGTACGTCACATGATGCTACGTTGGATTTAATAGAGAAAGGAACAAGGTCGATAAACGGCATGAACGTACGGTGACTCACATTTAGAGGTTAATACTTGGTTGCTGCTCGGTATTATGCGATAATGGCCCGAAGATGTGCATAATGGCCTGAGGGCCGCGGGCCCGAAGGACATTATGGACTCGAGGGTCATTATCGCATAATGCCGAGCTGCAACAAAGTATTAACGTCTTTAATACCTATGTCCGAAATACGGCATTTAGACATCGCCGCTAATCTTGGTTGTCGCCCTTTCTAAGAAACGGACAGTTGTCAATGTAAACAAAAATATGTCATTTAGTTTATTTGAAAACATGAGAAAAAAATATGAGACACTGTTGTTATATTGTTGTTTATATCGATAAAAACTCTCTATATATTTTTTTTGTGAGAATGACATATAGTGCCAGTTTTTATTTGTTTGGGTCGTCAGACCAAACAAATAATGGTAGCGAAATTTCAGAGTCTAATGTTGTTAATTGCAAACGCCGAAAGTAGTCCACTTTTTTGAAGCGGTTACTTCCCTTTATATGTACACTAACGCCGAAAAATTCAGGGGAGATCACTGCGTAAAGATGGTCAAAGACAGGCGAATTAATGTTCAAGCAAAATAATTCCCGAATGGTCGAAGATTTCTAATATTGTTATTATTGTATTTTCTGATCGAAATTAAGTAAATACAAAGCGGACATTCAATCTCTGACACAGAAGTTCACAACAAACCTAACAACAAGTAGTTCTCAAAACAGCTTAAAACTAGCGATTTAAAAGAAAGAAATATTTTTATTTTGTTACAAGTATCCAACAAATAACAACGCATTCAAAGTTTAAAAATAGCGTTGGCTTATAGAATTGTCAATAAATGCACAATCACAAATTACGCGGATGAATATGATTTTATCAATGAAAATACTATTTTTAGCGATGTTTATTACCGAATACTACACAAACCGTTTAGTGGAATATATAGATTCTACATGTCGGACTGTTTGGGCGAGAAGATTTTCGCTAAATTATTTACTTCAATTTTAAACAACAGGTTTATCCTGAACAAAATACTTCGAAATTAATAAGGATAACAAACCCGAAATGCAATGGAAGTTCTAAATATAGAATGACTTGATGTTATTCAGATAATATTTGTATAACTTCACTGTGGTGCAGGGGTAACGCGCTCGCTTCAGGAGTGAGAGGTCTGGAGTTCAAATCCAAGTCGAGGAAACTTTTTTTTTAAATTCTTTTTTAAGTGTCTTTGTTAAGGAAGTAGCCATGATATGCAAGGATAAAGTGTGACTGTCGTAAAAAAATGAACATAAATGATTTTTTGATGCATCTCTAGTTATGCAGAATTCCGTATGTATCAAACTCTGGTGCCTTGCAAAATGAATTATAATACATAAAAATAAACTTATACAGGAAAATGCATACAGATATACAGTACGATTAAGATTGCAAAGATCAGAAAATACCACATATCAAACTCTGGTGCCTTGCAAAATGAATTATAATACATAAAAATAAACTTATACAGGAAAATGCATACAGATATACAGTACGATTAAGATCAGAAAATACCACAGAACTTGCATACCTTTGATTCTTTATAAATATACATGCTTATAGTAAGCTCCAGGATTATTTACATCTGTGTTAAACAACAGTTAAAGTCGTTACAAGCCCTAATTTAGAATAATATGGTTTTCTTCAGGCCGTTCACATATAAATTCACCGTGGCTGAAGGGTTTTCGCGCTCGCCTATGAAGCGAGAGGTCTGGAGTTCAAATCCCAGTAAAGGCAACTCATTTTTTTTCAAATTGTTTAAGTCAAATAAACATTGGATTGCATATCAGTGTTGCAATTAGTCTTATAGCCAATTTACTACAATTAAAACGCTGGAAAGCATTGGTGGCACTATACATATAATCTCACAACCTGCACCTTTCTTACATTCTGAGACCCAAACAAATTCAGCGCCTTCTGTGCTTTGATTATTAACTGTTGTGCCTCCGAGACTGATGTCTAGCTCCATTTGACATCGATCCGATCTTATTTCTACAGTCAAACTGAAATCATTTTTGGAAATTCTGAGGGTTATGTTTTGTCTTTGGTACTTTTCTTGAGTTTATAAATCTTCAATGTTAAGCTTTGTTGATTGAGACTGATTACGTCATTTAAACTGAAAGTTTTTTTTGTGCAAGTAACTAGAGTTCATTCAACGTCAGCAGCCATCTTGAAAGTCATTGAGAGTTGATAACGTCATTTTGCACGTGCGCTCATTCACTCGCCCATTATGGAAAAATAATGCCGAGTAGCAAGGCGGCCGAAATTGCATAATGACCTAGATCTTGCCATAATGTCCCTGAAATACCCTAGAATTTTGTTACTATATATAGTAACATAGGTATTAAATATTATTAAATACTTACTTTTTATTGTCATATCATTGTCATAGAACTTTATAAGTTTCTATGACAAAATGTGATACCTTTTAGAAATTAAAATATCCGTTGAATAACTAAAGATGACACCCACCTCATTAAATTTAGATAAAGGTAGTGCATACTACTTCCTATTTTGCTGCAAACCATTTACATGAAATTTGTTTCGGCAGACCGATATCATAATTACTTAATGTTCTCTAAAACTACCAGGAATTATGTTTACATGAAAAAAAATCATGCTTGGGTATTTTTATCCTGTAAGTCAATGCTCTACATCAAGTATGTTTTCAGTCATTCTAATAAAATGAAAAAAAATAAATAAAAAAAATGAAAACACAAAATACCCAAATAAACAAAAAAAAACACTAAAACGGAGGTAAGAAAAATATCTCTTGAACTGAAATACACTCTAAACCAACGTTATTTAACCAAATTTTTGTGCAAATAGTAAGCGTACAATGCTTCATAATGATTTAACTCTTATTGACTAATAAAATACGCTTAAACGTGCCGTAATTAAGCACAAGAAACACATTGGCAGTAACAAAAGTTATCATAAGAACTCCAGGACATATTTTGAGTTATCACAAGAACTCCGTGACATTTGAAAAATTCGCTATAGATTTATTAGCCTCGGCATTATGTTTGCAACTCTCCGTTATAATTAGGTAATTAAGTATAGCAACGAAGAAGATCAAATATGAAAAGGTCAATATGTACGAATGAGCAAGTTATTTTGAAATTTTACTCAAAACTACCATGAGTACTCCGTGAGTTTTCCAGGAACTGAAAAGTTATTATACTTATATGACAGTTATTATACGAACTCCAAACAAGTTCTCATAAGAACTCCATCCTTCGTGTAACAGTTCTGCCCCCTGCATAATTTAATTACCGTTTTGAATGCAAAAAAAATGTTAACGGTATAATATATGAAGTGTTTAAGCCAATTTGAGAAATATATTCTCCTTATTTGTAAGGGGAAAAAGAATAAAAGACTTACATAGTAAAACTAATTCAAGTTTTCTTGATCAAAACTTTAATGCTGGTCAAAGCTTAGATAGTTTGCATGTTTCATTGCCTAATAAACCTACCAATTTCAGGTTATATGGAAATTATAGAAAAGAAACACTGCATTTGAATTTTCATTAAAACTTTATTTATTATATACTTGAACCTCTAGTAGTTTTACAAGATAATTCGAAGTAAATACGCATATATAAGATCACTTATGGTCACTTCTTTGCTAATTTTGATCAATTAATAAAATACAGTATAAATAAAAATTCCATACTGTTTTTCATTTACATTCCAAGGTACCAGATCAACGCTTAGGTCAGTAGTACCAAGTTTAAATCAAATGACTTATATCATTCTGCAGAGGATATCAATGCCATGAATATCCCTTTAAATTAACATTTTTCCTCTGATTACAGGATTTGTATATATAAGCTTGGTATGTATGTTTGAATTAATTAAGGTTTGAGTAAATGTCAGGGTACATTAATAAACATCTTTGATTGCCAAAGTTATTAAAGCTATTTCTGTTTGCAACATTTGCAACAAATCTGTTTTATAACTTTGTCGTATGGTTCCAAAGATCGACACCATGACGGCAGAAACTTCCAAGTCTTCAGCTTCACGGGAAGTACATCCGGACGTTTTGTTTGCAAAATGTTTATTACTGCAATGCAGAGTAGGATAATAATCAATGGCACACTAACTACAACGAGTGCTATTCGACTGATAGACGACAATCCGAACACCACAGCTGGTAAAATGACAAATAATACAAGAAGATAAGCAACGGAGTACCAGCGGTACCTTGCAGTTTTGTTTCCAAGAAATTTAGCCATACGAATAGGTAATCTTGTCATTGGAATAGGGTAGTAAAGTAACACACCAGAAATGTTAAAGAAAACGTGACACAATGCTACGTGGAAGGCAATTGGCATGTCGTCTGCATTTTGTGACAACGCGATTATAATAGCTACAAAAGTCGTTCCAAGATTGGCACCTAAAGTCAACGGATACATGCGTTCCATAGAAAGAATTCCAATACCAACTAAAGGTGTTAATGCTGATGTAAACACAGAGCTTGACTGTATTGTCATCGTAATACCAGTTCCGATTAATATTGCTATATAGCCCGTAAGGTACCGAAATATTCCAGGGAAATCAGAATTGATAAATTTCCTTACTATTGCAAGAATTTGTCCACGCATTACAGAGTAAAGCGTCCGAACCAATGTGAAGAAACAAGCGCTTAAGAGTATCAATGTGATGATTAACAACACGATTCCAACCGTGGTATCGCTCCAAGATACAGACGCAAACATATAATTGCCTGAAATGTTAATTTGAAATAATGTTATAATATAATATTTTTTCGCTACTCTGAACTTTCATATTGAAATTTATTATATACTTATAAATGGAATATTGAGAAATATTGATGAAATAAAATGCGTATTTTCATTTCCCGTATTTTCACTGTAAAAATTTATTTTTCACTGCAGTGAAACATATTTTCCGTATTTTCACTGGTGTCTTGCCGGACTACTTTCTTTTAAATTCTACCAGTACACAAAATTTAAGGGAAAGTTTTTCAAATTTTATCGAAAAAAAGGGAAAATTTACATAATAAACAGAAAATTCAAGTTTTTTCTATAAATACATGATTTATTTTCATCTTGTGGCATGAAAATTACCATATTTCACTCGTGGCTACCGCCACTCATGAAATATTTATTTTCATACCACTCGATGAAAATAAATCATGTATTTATAGAAAAAACTTGAATTTCCTCTATATATTTAAATGAGTATAATGCCAGACATATCTAAGTGTCAACTATTACATGAAAAGTGTAGTATATTATCATTACAACACTATAAATGCATGATATGAATACATACTCGTAATACGCATGCCTTATAGGTTTGACATCTACGATTACCAAGTTGTATTGTGCGGCTTGTCATTGTGCATGAATATTGCTCACCTTGGTCTTTGCTCTCATGTTTATAAGACATTAATAAATATTATTAAACTGAAACTCACACTTTGTTATACAAATTTTGGTCGACCCATCGTCCATATGCAAACTAGATGTATTGTCGAAATAAGTAGTATTAGAATACATTCGAGGAAATGAGCTGTTGTTTGTCCAGTACTTCCATTTACAACACTGCTTGATAATACTTTTCTGAGAAGCACCTTCCTTTCCTTCAGCAATATCTGACAGCACGCCTTTGTCGAGCTGTAAACATATGCTAGATAAAAGTATACATATTTAAAACACATTTTAACTCTGTATAGAAAAAAGCGATAAGCAAAAATATTGCTTTAATTTTATCACGTTAACAAACTCTAGATATAATCGGACAAAAACTATTGATGATTTTTCTAAATAGTGCCTCTTATCATGCAATAAAGGGTCTGAATTAACACGTAAGAGACCAGCAAAATAACACAACAGAGATTGTATGTCACAATTTAATCTATCATCGACTTAGTTGACAAATATTCGATTATCATAATAAACAAGCTAGACATATAAAATACTGAAAAGAATATAGTGTTCAAATATAAGACATACCTGCACAAAAAGATTTGATAGTGGTTTAGTAAGGGTGTTCAAGAGTTGCAATGATTTTCTTTTCTCTCGTGATTTTGGAAACTCAACAGAAGCCAAAATAGCCTTCGTAAGGTAATAGAGATAACCTGTCAGAAATTATTATAGAATGTATGTCTTGGATCCTAAAAACAACCTAGCAATCAACTTTTTTTTTGGAAATAGCATGGATCTTTCTTAATCAAAAAATTCAAAATTAGCTCCATATCTTCATGAATGAACATACAGACAGTAATCAAAACACCATAAAAACAATAAAAAACAGCAACAAAAAACAACACACAAACGAACAAAAAATAAACATTTTTTTGATGTTAATAATGTCAACAATTTTAGCATTTTTAACCAGTAAATACTACATAACTAGACCTGTTGCTGCTTCTAATGGTAAGAAGACAACTACTGTCATCCAATTAAAGACATCATTAACGGTTGCCCCTGCAAACGCTCGTCTAAATTCTTCTTTCTTTGTGATCTGTCCCATGGCAACGATTGTACTTGTTGTTGATGTCCCTATGTTTGCACCCATTACAATTGGAATCACATCACGAACTGTCAGTACTTAAAAATTAAAAATATTTATTATATAAGATAAGGTAGTTTTATCAAAATGGAGAAAATATAAACACAGTTTCTTTGTTGCATATAGTATATGTATGTATAATAAACATATCTCTGTATACTCAAACATCAATAAGCGATACAATTCAATGTGATATACATGTACCATTGAGTCTAAACAGCTCTGCTTTATGACTATTGAAATATGGAACCTTTCTTAATTAGAAATATAGATGCTACATATATGTAGTAAATTAAAGCTTTAGATTGATTAAATTCCTTAATGAACATTATAAACAATTAACTAAAGAACATATTCTTTGTTCCTAAACAGCAACATGTACAAAGAATAGAATACAGACTTTTTGTCCGGTCCATTGATATCGAAGTGTATCAGTGGAGTTAAAAAATAAATGTACACAAAAATATTTACATGTACTTACATTGTATCAAACGATAACATATACAAAACTTTCAAACTATTTTATTTCACAATGTAAGTTTTCTTCAATTTTCTGTATAAATATTTCCTGATTCATCTTTACACGGTAGGGAATCACGTGACTTTTACGGTTACGCGTACAGACAATATGGCGGCCTAAAAACCTCGCTTCACATGTGTTTTTCAGGTAATTCTTTATTATATCCCTTTACTTACATACGAGACCTGTTGCAGCCTACGCAGAATAAAGAATTGTTGCCGCCTATACCTTATTTTCCACCCCTGTGCTCATAGCTTTTACAAACACTCAAAAATTCAAAAGAAATTTTCAATGTAAACAATTAATATTTTCGGGTAACATTCACGCAAAATTTTGTACTATTTTTTATGAATTTGGATTAAACTAACGTCGAGTTAGCAAGGAGAAAATGTTCATAGAATTTCTTTATTTGAAAAAATGTAAATATTAGGTATTGTTAAATGTTGACTGGTCAATTTTCTATTCCATTACACGAGAGAAAAATGATTTTTGTGTAACTCCACGCATAAATTTTAATTGTTGATAACTCCCACGCAATATTTTATGTGCAGGCAATATCTATGCAGGTTATAGCCTAGATATTTGATTGAAAAAAAAAAAAAAAATCATGATTGATGCATTTAGCATCAAACTTTCATTAGAATTTTGGGAATAATATTTGAAAATACCGCACATAGGTCCTTGATAGAAGTAAAAACCCCAGCAGGCACATCAAAACGGTGAAACAACGTTGAAGTATGATCAGATTCCAACGTTGAAATAACGTTAGATTTTATGTTCGAATTTGAAAGTTTAAAAAAAACGTTGAAGTTCAACGTTTTGCACAACGTTGAAGTTTCAATGTCATTTCCAACATACTTTAATATAAATAATATAAAGCAAAGTACTGTACGTAACAGAGTTTAACAAAAAAAATCAAGGCACTATTAAATACTTCAGCTATTTTATTTCAAAACTAAAAGTTCAAGTGTAGCTAAAATTCAAAAACGATTTAAGAAGTCCCTTTTTAGTTTAACAATTAAGCTACAACTATCTGTTCCAATCTACCACTAGTTCTTCTTCTAGAGCTCTGGTATGTCTTTAAGTGTGTCATGATGGTGTTTGAATACTTCTACTGCTTCTGCAAATAAAATAAGAAGTTACATGTTAAAATTGACTTGGTCAATCTCAAATTATTATAATAATTAATCAACTTAGTGATTTGTTTTATCTTAAAATGCTTATCTTCTAAGACTTACATAATAAAACAGCATATAGAAATTAAGATACAGTCTGAAGTTTCATATTGACAGTAAATTATGTACAAAAACAACAAAAACTTTTTAAAAAAAGCTATTTAACCCTTAACCTCATATATACGCGACACAACGCACTTTCGACCCCCCCCCCCTTTTTTTTTTAGGCCTGAAAATAGTGAGAAAATGTCCTATTTTTCCCCAAACACATGTTTTTCGTTTGAGAAATGTTGTTAAAAAAAGTGAGCACTTTTTTCGGCGCCGCCCCCTGTCCAAAAGATACTTCAGGGGGTTGCCAGAAGGGGATGTGCCCCTTCTTTTTGGGGGTTTGAAGGGGGCGGATACAGTCCTTCCTCATCGCAAAGAAAATTTTGGACTTGTGAGAGGCTTTTAAATTACCCCAGGGCGATCATGAGGTAAGGTGTTATCAAACGCTGAAAAAAGCCTTTGACTCTATCTCAAAATTCCCCTTGAGAAGTTGGCAGCCACTTTGAAGTAAATTTTGATGGAAAAAAAATCGGAGACAAAAATAGTGATTTTTTTGGCAATTTTGGAGGATGTCCCCTCGTTGCCATGGTTTAGCTAGAAATTTAAGAGTTGAAAGGGAGGCTTTTTCAGGTGGAAAAAATGGGCCACCACTTTTTCACCCAAATATTGCCCACTGGGTGAAAAGGGTTAACTTAAAAAATTTATAAATTGCTTAACAAAAACAAACCAATTTTTCAACCAAAAATTCAGGTAAAAGACCACATGCTTTAACATGTTAAAAACTATGATTTTGGGTGATTCAAAAAGGTTTTTTAAATCATTTTTTGTTAGCCCTTTACCCCTTTGCCATGGTAACAGGGAAATTTAAGGGATGATTCATGTCGTTACAAAAGCAATGGTCCAGTCAACATTTTGTGCCAAATTTGTTAGTATTGAAGCAATTTTTCAAGTTTCATAAAGCAGTTTGAACTTGTAAGAGGAGGCTTTTCAGTGGAAAAATGGCCATTTTTTCACAAAATATGTCATGGGGGAAAGGGTTAAGTCTGAACCTTATAATTGGTAAGAAAAACTTGCTCCCATTCAGTTACGTCAGGCATTTTCCCAAGAAACAGTCCTTTCCATGTTAAATTTTTATGGTAATTAGAAGCTTCGAAGCTGTTAATACTTTAAATTTTAGGCCCAGGACCAGGATCTAGAATATAAAAATAGAAAACTTTTTATTCCCCTTATAATATTCACGGCAATTAAACTTAAAATTTTAACACTCAACTTTATTATTTTAACCACAAAAAGTTTAATCAATATTTAATTTTGAAAAATGCAATGGATTTAAATGTATTTTTCAAACTAATTCACATTTAATTTTACTAATCACTAAGATATAAAAGTAATACAACTAAATTGGACGAATCGTCTTGGGGCGTAAAAATTAATATGGGGCGAACAAACACGTCATCTGCTTAATAGGTTACAATAATATGATTGTAAAAAATTTCAAAAAAGGCATGGCTTGTAAAAATCATAAAATTGGCCAAAAGGAATTCAATAACTTTCGGCGTAAGGCCTTACCAAAACGCCCAAAACATTCAAATTAGGTCGCAAATTTTGATACAAAAGTCTTAAAATATTAGAATGAGGTTTTTGTATTTCTGTTTTTATTAGTAAAATTACAGTTTGTCATTTTTTTTCATATTTTGGGGCAGATATGGAAAAGGTTCATCTTCGGATTTGTTTTGTGATAAATGTGGGAAACATTTCATTCGCGGATAGGTCTCAAATTGACCAATGAAACAGGGTCTACACGGCCACAGGACCTTAATAAATGTTGTTGGTAAAAACATTTTTATAGCCCAGCAAATCGGAAAACGTTACGGTTTTTCTGCTGATATTAAGATGACCATTTCCCAACATAAGTCCTCTAGATTTTATTACCTAGTTTGTAAAATAAAAGAAACCCATTCTAATATAGTTTAGGTTGTTTTTTTTTTATGCTTTTAGGCGCATATTTAAAAAAAAACCGCACACAACATAATAATAGTTAAATACCAGGACACTAAAATTTGAAAAAAGTTGGTTTCATTTAAAAAGACTAAGTGATAAAATGACTTAGACTTGAATGTCTTTAAAAATCTTAATATAACGAATAACATAAAATGCCATACCTGTCCGTTTCGATTTGTCACAACATTTACAAAAGTCCTGGTGCCGAGGGTAAGGCCAGTTTATGACGGTCATTAAAGACAAATGTTTGCCCAAACATTATCCACAAACAATTACCCGAACTGGAATAGCCCATATCTGCAAAACTATGAAAAAATGAACAACTGTAATTGTGCTTATACTGAAAATCGACCTCCTTATATTTGAGACTTTTAATTTTAATTTTTCTGCGATTAAAATTCATCTTAATATAATCGAAACTTCATTTAATATATTCACGTGAGTATGTATTCTGCTATCCATAGGGGCTTTATTTCTATCCAGGGACCTTTTGGGAGGCGGTATTTTTAATATTATTTCCCAAAATTCTTTTGAACGTTTGAAGGCTAAATGGCCATTCAATCATTTCGAATTTTGTTCAATCAAATATCTAGGCTATAACCTGCATAGATATTGCCTGCCCAATTATTAAAAATATTGCGTGGGAGTTTAATCAACAATTTAAAAGTATGCGTGGGAGTTACCCCAAACCATTTTTTCTCTTATGTTTTTGGAAATAGAAAAAAGAGACCAGTTCAACAAATTTAAATTGCCTAATATTTACATTTTCAAAATAAAGGAAAATTCTATTGAACATTTTCTCACTTGCTAAACTCGGACACGTGTTTAATCAAAAATTCATAAAAAATACCCCAAATTTTGCGTGAATGTTACCTTACCCAAATATAATTGTTCACATTGAAAATTTTGTTGAATTTTTGAGTGTTTTGTAAAACTATGAGGGGCCAGGAGTTTTGGAAACTAAAGTATAGGCGGCAACAAATTCTTTATTCTCGTAGTCCCCGGCTGGCAAAACAGGTCTCGTTATGTAAGTTAAAAGGGATATAATAAAGAATTACCTTAAAAACACATGTTAAGCGAGGTTTTTAGGCCGCCATATTGTCTGTACGCGTAACCGTAAAAGTCACGTGATTCCCTACCGTGCTTTATAAATTTCCCATTTCTGGACATACAAACAATTCATCAAGAATTACGTACCCAGTTAAATGATATCTAATTTAAGATTCAAATAATTCACACTGGCTAAAATACGAGGAAAAAAAACCCCCAAAGATCAACAATATGGGGTGGGATCCAATGAGCATATCCATCAACACGACCCTGCAACACTAGACTACCGACAAGGTACACCGATTAAATTTCAGGTATCAACTTCAAACAAATGATTTGAGTTGTATTGGAGCATCGTCTATTTCATGAACCAGTTCACAAAACAGAACACACAAAAAGCATGGTCTCCAAAACATTGAATATTATAAAACATCGCGTTTGTCCATGCTCAAATCAATATTGCTATTATCTGTTTCCAAAATGTGGAACCTGGTGCCGAAATGAAATATAAACAAACCTTTAGAAACAGCCAGGCTCTTATTGCAATACCAATGGTTCCTTGTTGAAGAAGATTGAAATATGGAAGTTGCGTAGAACTCCAATCATCATCAACAGACAGCAACAGGGTACTAGAGTACATGCGCAGTTTTGGAAACACGAACCTGCCGTTTGCCCTTGAAATAGTTTTATATTATTATATAATTTGACAATTAGGAAAAAAAAGTGCGCGTTATGTTTCATTAATGATGCTTGATCGAACAATTATTACAAAGTAATAATGTAATTTTATCATATTTAAATAGCGCAATTACAAAGAAATTATTTCAGTTCACTGTGAATTTTATGTGTTTACTCGTGTAGATTTTACCGAAAACAGTTTGCAATCAGATCTCTTCCGATTCATTTGTTGACAGTTTTTCGGGGCCTACGTCATTATCAGCGATAGGTGCCAGTGTTGTTTTCTTAAAGAGTATTTTATTTATTGTAAGATTTGACGACCTAAGATTTGTTTAAGATTTGTGCAAAAATTGATATGAATATATGCGCTGATAATTGATATGTGTCTATGCAAAATTTAGAAAGTAGAGTTAAAATACCTTTATATAATTTTTGTAGTCATTAAAAATTTATTTTCATAAAACTTATTTTTGTCAAGTTACGTTATAAATGTTTGGGATTTGATTTTTAAGGGTTTTGTGTTGGAAGAGGGGGAACGTGAGCGGTGGTATAGTGTAAGTCTATGGCCACGCGATGTTCACCTGTGTGGTCTTTCTAGCTCCTTTACATAAAATATAACAAAATCTACACTGTTGTCTGTATATGTATTTTAAAGAAAATGGTAAAAAAATCATTATTTTTACAAGCAATGCCAAAAGACGATATATAAGTATATTTTATGTTAATATATTTAACATCTTTTGTTTAAGGGTACTTGTGAGTTTAAATTGTAACATATTTAACGCTTACCTCCAATTAACCGAAATGATTTACTCATCAAGTCCAGAGAGCAAATGAAGAAATAAAGACAGCCAAGTAATAAAATTGTTTTTCCAACACCAACTGCCACACGCTTCACTTTCATATAACAACTTAGGTCTAGAAGCAACGGACCATTTATTAAAATAAACGAATATACCTATTTGTAATTGTTTAAATAATACTTTGTGTAGTTATTGGTAATAATAAACAAGACTTCTTAATTCATATAAAGAAAAGTACATGTGTAATTAGTATTGGTAATACAATTGCTAAGCTCTTCAATAAGATATATAACCATGTCATAAAACCATGTCAGAATTATGACATATCATGATTATGTTAATTGTGATTGCAAATAGTTAACTGACAATGGAAACAGATTGAATTTTTTTGTCAATCTATATGCTCACACCAAACTGTACATTATAAAATTTAGCAATATGGGAAACTTAAGGCTCATAGATAACGTCAAAAATAAAATATTTCATCCGCGATTTATGAGCCATTTTCATTGACTTCAATAGTTGATGCATTCTACCGTTAAGACTCTCTAGCACTCTCTAGTGTGTTTTATGGCGGTTATCATAGAACATTTTACATGGTGCTATCATGTCATTTCACGATAAGATAAAAATAATGCTATGGATATCGCACTAGATAAAAGTAAGTTTGAGAGGAAATCAGAGTGTAATATCGACAGCCTTCAAAATACCTAATTGAGTATCAGGCAGAATGTCCAAAATGAGATTATATAATAAACAGAAATAGAATAAACCATAGGAAAATGGCAAAAATGAAACAACCAATCATACCACACTTACAACGGTATATTTACAGATATGAAATACAAGTGCAAAAGCTATCATTTGTTTTCATTTTTTTATAAAATTGTCTAGCACTTTTGTTCATAAATTTTAAGGAACTGTTTTATCTTGTAAAAAAAGATATCCGCATACTTGAATATCTTTAAATGATATGAATCAAGGTACCTGACCATTTTGTGAATATTACTTGAACTTCTGGTAACTCCCAAGGATCTACCTCTATGTGTACCTCCGGTTCCTTGTGTGCATCACTGTCATTCTGACCGGTGTATGCTTTATTCTGCAATTAATTACGAAAGATACAGAAAGCTCACTTCAGCCAGTGTAAATTTATATGAACCTAAAAGAATCAGAAATTATGCTTAATGTTTTCATATTTATGAAGCATATTCAATGTACTGAATATTGTTTTACAAAATGTTGTGTATATTAAACGTTATGTTACGGAACTGTCACTTTTCGTCGTTACCTATCGGCTATAGGAGCAGTACCGTATGAAAAACAGTACAACATCTGCTGGGCAAACACCTTTTTAGAGGCAAAGATTTCTGTTGTTGCTTGAGGGGCGTTGCTCTAGATGGATTAATATTTATATTGCATTATGAAGTCTAACTTAAGAGGTATTAAAACAGTTGTTGTGAAAGGGTTTTTGCTCAAGAGAAAAAGATCAAATCTTATTTAGACCACATAACAGTACAATTACGAAATTTTTAGAAAAAGTGAGTAAGATTGGTAATTATTCTCACCGATACTAGTACGCCTAATTCCAAATTATTTTCTTCCATCGCTGAAATCACGGCAGTGACTTATATTGAATATGTAGTACAATCAACAAGGAAAAACGTGCCTTTTCATTGTAAGGCATCTCTGATGAGTAATACAATTCTTTAGTGTACATTATCGGGTGTGTTTGCACATAGTTATAATTAAATAAAACTGTACAGTTTCTTAAGAAGCAAATATGCCTGTTCCGTGGTTACTAGTATTCAGCAAAAAAATACTCAGATTGGTCGATAACGTTTGTTATACTTTTTTCTATTAATTTATCGTAAAATTTGTGTTTATCATTTTTAAGTATTGTCATTAGCCCAAACTTTTACAGTTACGATGAAGGAAAACGCCGGTTACCCTTTCCGTGGGTACTTTCATTACCAATGACTGTATTCGTTTGTATTGGAAATCAATGTTAAACGTTTTCACTCTTATCATTTTTCAAAATTAAAAGTCAAATTCTGAAGAATATGGTGCTAGTAAGCCACGTTAAAGTTCAAATAGATGATATAGATATCTCATTGAACCAACAAGTATAAATCATATTATATAACAGACCATCAATTTGTTTCTTAAGATATTCAGATGTGCGATAACATTTAATCAACAGTTGATGATAAATTTATATTTTGATTTTTATATACAGTGATAAGAAATACGCGAGAATAAAAAAAGATAGACATTCAATTCATCAAATTGCTGTTGTTTCCGTAATTCGATATTTAGGTATCACCTAGCCTATATTTTTGACCAATTGCAAATTAGGACATTATATTTTTAAACTTAGTCTAATTGTAAGTGCTTAAAATTCCAGAACACGTTCCATGTAATTGGGGGATGTGTCCTATCTACCAGGTTATTAAATGTATGTTAAATAATAACAAAACATAGATATGCAATTGAAAAAGTAAAAACCGCATAATCCAGTTCTTACATGTAAGTATGCAAAATAAAAAACACCAGGACAGGACCGGATAACCAGCCAATATGAGATGGTATCGCAAACATCAACTTCTCTTGGAGACACTTTTTTTCTAAGACTTTGATATTTTAAATATACAATTTGATTATTTATGTAGCATGTGGATAAGCTCAAATGGTCAAGGCTTTTGAACAAAAAATATTTTTTGTTTCAGTTCAGGAACATGTGAACGATACCAGATTAAGATAAATATGTAAGCAGGTCATCTTAGATCTATGTTAAGATGAAGGATATAAATGGCTCTATTCCAAAAATGATCTTCGTATTTTCATTGTCAGATTTAAAACCATAACATTGTTACATGTATCAATGATCCTTAAGGATCTAGTATTTATTTATATTCCTGTGATCTCAGCCCATTGTAATGCGTTGTTTGTTTAGCTACCGATATCACCGCTTAAATTGTGAAACCCGAACAATGTCGATTGTATACCGAACCAAGTCTCAACTTGTATTTCACAACATCTTTAATGTTCTTAAACTCTCTGTCGTTTATCTCTCAGTTGAAAAAAACTTACAAACATAGCCTTGATAGCTGAATTTCTCTTTTCACCAACTGAACATAATAATAGTCATATTAACATTGTAAAGCAATATGAGCGAATTAAAGCCTCCGCAACTTTGGGACAATCGAAAGTATTTTAATAATGTTTTATATTATACTTTATTTGCATCTCCTGATGTTGCTATCTCAAAGGTGTAATCCTACTGAAATTTTTAAACATAAAACCCTACATGCAATGAGTTATGTTATCTGGACAACGATTTATCGTCATTTAGCTGAGTGTTATGGAAATAATGGTGTAAATGGTTTTGACTCCCAATACGAAATCCAGATGAATTTAGAATAAAAGTGAACATCAATAGAATTAATAGATCACAAACATTTCATTTAAAGATTTTACATATAGAATTAAAGTGGTTTGTTTAAATCCTTTTAAAATTTCATTTTTTTTTTCCTAAGCAATTTACAACAAAATCTTTCCTTAAAATAATCAAGTCGTCGTATAGTTTCAAAGACCGAACAACCACAGAACGGCAGAATTTTCCCATGTTTTTAAGTTTCACAGGAAGGGACATACTGGTCTAGTTGTCTGCATATATCTTACCACGCTGCTATTTAATAGTGCAAGTAAGAACCAAGCATAAATTGGTTTGTTACGTAGCGACTGCATACAAGTGGCCTATCCCAGGGCTGGCAGACGACAAATGCCGAAAAACACCACAGCTGTAAAATGACAAAATAACACAATTAAGGTAAAGCAATGGATACCAGCGTACCTTGCTGAGTGTTTGTTTCCTAGAATAATTTAACCATTCTCGAATTTTGGGAATCTCGTGGTTTACAGGTAGATTGGATAGTAAAGCAATACACCGGAAATGTTAAAGAAAACGTGACGCAAAGCTACGTGGAAGGCAATAGGCATGTCGTCTGCATTCTGTGATAATGCAATTATTATAGCCGTGAAAGTTGTTCCGAGATTTGCACCTAATGTCAATGGGTACATACGTTCCAGTGAAAGAATTCCAATGCCCACTAAAGGTGTCAAAGCTGACGTAAACACAGAACTTGATTGTATGACCATTGTAACTCCAGTGCCTATTAAAATTGCAATATATCCTGTTAAATACCGGAATATTCCAGGGAAATCGGAATTGATAAACTTTCGAATAAGTGCAAGAATTGGTCCTCTCATTACAGAATAAAGCGTCCGAACTAATGTGAAGAAACAAGCGCTTAAGATGATCAATGTGAAGATCAGCAATACGATTCCAATCGTTGTGTCGCTCCAAGAAACAGATTCAAACAGGAACTGACCTGAATAAAAGTGAATAATTTGTTTGATATCAATAAATTACCTGTATTATACCCTAAAACAATCTAAAATTTTCGCATTAGTTTGTTAATAAATTGTTTAACCTATACATAATTATTGACCGAAAGATAAGATAAATTTTCATGACTAAAACACTGGCCACTGTTAATTCACAGAAAGGTGAAGTTTTCTTTCAATAAAATGCTATAAATAATATATTCCACAATATGATTCGATGAACTTTTTTCACTGTTGAGCATGTTAAAACAAATTCAAACTTACATTTAGCGACACAGATTTTGTTTGGTATATTTTGCAAATGCAAACTGGTTTCATTTTCAAAACTGCTAATATTGGCATTGATCTGAGTAAACGATCTGTTATATGAATTCCATTTGCAGCAATGTTTGATTATACTTTTGTCACTAGCACCTTCTTTTCCTTCAGCAATATCAGACAGAACGTGCTTGTTAAGCTGAAATAAGATATAATATCAAAATATTAAAAATCAGAAAACTCTGTTTAGGAGGCCTATTGAGGGTAACACATGTGTAAAAAGCGCAAATATACAGCCAATATATGTATTATAATCATTTGTTTGGATTGAGAAACGAACTATGACTGAAGAAGACTAAGACAGGAGTAGGGATGCTGTATAACATACCTGCATAATTTGGCTTGTGAATGGTTTGGTAATCGTTTTCAGTAGTTGTAACGATTTTCGTTTCTCTCTTGATTTCGGAAAGTCTATGGATGCCACAATGGCCTTAGTGGTGAAGTAATACAGGTAGCCTGCAAGCAAATCATATAATAATTATATCAAGTTATATATCGACAAAATATAATTACCTGCAATCAATAATACTTCAATCTTAAATTTTTTTAATTATCTCAAGTCTACTTATTAAACTATAAAGTGACGGGACTCTTGAATTTGTCTTACTTGATCTTTTAGATGAAGAACTAGGTTGCTTAAGAGCCTTGTGAATAGTAGCTTGTCTTCAGCCTATTGTTTATATTTAAAAACATCTTATTATTAAAAATTGAAACGATTTGAATCCACTCAAAAGATAGGAATTAAATATTACATTATCAAGCCCCTAAACCAAAATATACAACTAGAGAGTTTAACTGCTTATAAAACAACCAACTCGACCTACAGAGAAGAAGTATAATACCTGTTGCTGCTTCAAGTGGAAGAAATACGATAACAGTCATCCAATTAAACATGTCATGAATAGTTGCTCCAGCAAAAGCTCGTCTAAACTCTTCTTGTTTTGTGATCTGTCCTAAAGCTACAATTGTATTTGTCGTTGATGTTCCTATGTTTGCACCCATAACAATAGGTATCACATCACGGACTGTCAGCACTTACAACGTTATTTTTTTTATAAAGAGAAAAACGAAATTAGTTAATTCTACATAATAAGGCAACTCATTGGATGAAATAAAATTAATTCTTGTGTTCAACAGAGGGAAATTGTTCAACAACGATGGTATTGTGAGTGACTGTTTTTTACTAAGTATCCTTTTTGCTTTAATTTAGACAGCGATTACATTTACGTGACATCCCATTTATATTTTTAATTCAGTTTGTTAAATGTAATTCTTTATAACTTTTTAGGATTAGAAAGGTTGTATCTAAATATAGAGACAATAAAATTGCATTTATATTGGTTTTGCAAAAAAAAGGAACCGCAATGGCAATTAGTAAAGACTTGAGAGAACAAATCATGTATACTACCACATACTTTTGTTGACAGTTTTTGCAAAATAATTATTGCTTTATTTTTGTATGGATTAAAATAGATTTTTTTTATATAAATAATTCATATATTCTCATCTGTTAAATAATAAACTGTTTACCAACCTTTAGAAACTGCTAAACTAATTGCTATACCAGTGGTTGTTGAGGAAGATTGAAAGAGAACGGTTGCTAGGACACCAATCATCAGGCCGGCAACAGGGTTACTAAGTACATCGCTATTTTGAAACACTGAACCTGCCGTTTTTCCTTCAAAACAATTAATACACAAACAATTCAGTAAATCAGAATCCCTAAATAGATCATTACAAGGCAAAATTGAAAATGTTGCAGGCTCGGCTTGATTTAGCCTTTTCATGGACGGTAGTGGTAATTGCACGTCCCCTAGCACCAGCCATTACGGCATAAATATTTTGATAGAAAATAACAAAAAATAACATCAGTAGAAGTTATGCAATCTGATGATTATCCTCACAGGTAAAGATTTTAGAAATAACTTAATAATTAAATTAAAAAAGTTCTTTAACTTACACTAAATAAATAAAATTATTATGCGTCAAAGAGTAATTAATTCACGTGGTAACTTTTCCTTCAAAGTAATACCTCCAATTAACTTGAATGATTTACTCAGCAAGTCTAGAGAGCAAATAAAGAAATATAAACATCCGAGTAGTAAAATTGTCTTTCCAACAGAAACTGCAACTCTCTTAATCTTCATAAGACAGCTCAATTCTGCAATACACAAAAACAAACTAAAAGTAAATTTACGAAATGTTATCTCTCCGAATAAAGCGCTATCACTTTTAATAACATTTTTTTGGGGGAAAAAACATTACCCGTGAATTATCTTAAATGGGCTTGGCCATATTTCAATGTGGACAAGGCCGTTCATCATTAAAAAAGCGAAGAGAGTGCAGACTATGGTTAGTCGTCACAGATGTACCGGCAGATATTGGCCTGCACCAATCATACCTGGACAGATTCTGCAGCCGCCAGCAGGCTTATGATTAAATAAAATCTTGAAGCCCAATTTTCCGAATTATAAAATTTCATAAAAGGAGCTAGGCTAGTGGTGCATTTATTGAAGAAATATAGACTACATGTTACATACTTATTTGAGTAAACTGCATCACTTTACCTGACCATTTCGTATAGTTGACTTGAACTTCAGGTAACTCCCAGGGATCTTGTCTTGTCAATGATTCCACTGTGTCAATTTGGACATCGTTGACTTTATTCTGCATAAGAAATGTTTTAAAGTACAATTAATGTTAAATAATTTCACAACTACTATGGACGGGAAGGTTCGTCCTGTGCATGCTCCTCATAAACAGTTGATTATCGTACCTTACATATGGTGTAGATTTCGAGCTTTTAGTAATAAATCCCTGAATTACTTTAACAAACTACACATGTACTTATAATGTCTTGTGATCGAACAAAATGAATATAAAATTGAACATCACAGCCAAGAAATATATAACTATGATACATGTATCAGAGCATGTTAAATGAACAAAGAATTACAAACTACAGATTAGGATTCTTACCGATGGCATCTCTTCCAATTCCATATTATTTCCTGTCATCTCTCAGATCACAACTCGAAGATTTAAATGATCTCATATAGAGATGCAATGATTTTATCAAGACCTCTGTTACATTATTTTGAGACAGACACTAACTTGTTGACAACATGGTTTGATTGTATTTGTGTCATTACTTTTACATCAACCACATCTTACATGACCTGTGTCCCCACATAACGTTGATGCATATCCTTCTTTCCCTCGCAGCTATATAATAAATGAATGAATACTTTGGTTTTCGTCCATTTTTAAATTTTGTGTGTTTTATTATACATATATTTCTTAAATTCAAACTTCATGAGGGAATTATAACTACTTCACAGTATAAAGACATATCTTATATTATTTTACAAATAATTAAACATGATATTTGTATATAATGTTTTATGTTTTCAATTGTTCTTTAGTTTAGTATTATTGTCCATGATATTTAATTTGTATGTTTTGCTCGGGTGATGGTTTTCATGTCCCTAAAATTTGGACTTTTTCTTGCTATAGGAACAAAATAGATCGTACAATATTTTTATGCTTTTATACTAATTAAGGCTTAATAAAAATATATCAACTGCGTTTTCAGATGAGAAATGTTGAAACGATGCTGTCTATGAATCCTAACTTGACATAAGACTGAAATATGAGCCGCGTCACGACAAAACCAACATAATGGGTTTACGACCAGCATGGATCCAGACCAGCCTGCGCATCCGCGCAGTCTGATCAGGACCTATGCTGTTCGCTGTTCAGTTTCTCTACTTGTAATAGAGTTGGTAAGCGAACAGCATGGATCCTGATCAGACTGCGCAGGCTGGTCTGGATCCATGCTGGTCGCAAACGCACTATGTTGGTTGTGTCGTGACACGGCTCATATGATTTATAAGATAAACTGAACTTGATTAACATAGCGTATATATATAATTTCATTAATTACATTATTCTAACCTCCTTTCTGAAAAGTTTCGATGTTCAGCGAGGAAAGAGGGTTTACAAAACTCCGGGGAGCAAGCTTTCCTTTTAAACTTCAGAACGTTTTCTTCTTTTTGTCAGGTCAGATTATGGTTTTATTTATTTATTCTACGTTATAAACCAAGCGACGTCAGGAAGGCTACTTCTACGCCCAATTTAGTTCGACGTTTTTTTATATATTCTTTTTTTTATTAGAGTGATAGAATGGAAATAGATATTAAATTTTCTTGCATATTAGTATGGTTAACGGTAGATTAGGGTTGGCTGGTATATTTATGTAACAAGTGATGTAGCATCCGTAATTGATTATCTTTTTACAAGTGAAAAGAATTTCCCAAATATTTGTTATTTAATTGTACATTCTGTAAATTTAGTTTTTCACTGTTTTGTAACAATATTCAGTCGTTATTTTGGTTCAAATGTTTTGTAATTTATCACTCAGGCATATCAGCCTTCGTGATTATATTCATATGCATTATAACTCTAACAGTACATTATTCTACAACAATGCACTTAAAATTGATATATTTTTTCTAAAAATTTGCAATTTTATACATACTTTGTCACGAATATTATAAGTTTTTAAATAACTTGATATGTTGTCCATTTATATTTTAATGATTAGGTTTCCACATAACATTAAGTTTTATGCAACACTTATTTTTGTTATTGGATATGTTAAAGCGTGTAATAGTTATATACACGATATAATATATATAAGCAAATATGAAAAAGAAATTGAATCCAAAACTATTTTGTTTTAACAGCACTTTAAAAAAAGAAAAAAGTGTGTGTGTATTTATTTGATTCACTTTCATCAAAAATGAAAATTATCTGATTTAGGAACTAACATGATTTAATTTTCCTAAACATTAAGACAAACAGTTAATGAATAGTTAATTAGCATGGCCTTATTGTGATTTATTTTTAGCTTGTCATGTTTTAGATGAACATAAATGTTATAATGTCGGACAGATAATTAGTGATTAAGATGTAAAACAGTTTTGGAAACCACATTGTTTTTACGTACTTGTTGCTATCAGACAAACAAAAAAAGTTACTAGGGTTGTTCAAAAAGTAATAAGACTGCAGCTCTACTGTCAACACTACACAATTTTACAAGAGACCAATATCGGAACCTGTCTTCTTATTTATTTATTTATTTATTTATTTATTCTTTTTCTTTTTCTTTCTTTTTTGCGATGTAAATCTTCCAAATTTGAATTTACGATTGAACTCGTACATATTACACAATGATAAAACTGTACGAAATATGTATTTAATTCAAAAATAAACTTCTCGAAAATGGAAAGTTTATATTTATTTTATCGTTGGATTTATTATTCAACGAAATTTGTAATTTGGAAAGCATGAAAATAAGTGAAATGTGAGAAGTAACCTAGCGGTTAATTAGTACGTCTTCTCCCCACCCCAGGGATCGTTAGTTCGGCGCATGACATTTTTTGCCTCGTATGGCACAAGTATTGGTTAGTGTCAAAAAGCAATTTTAATGGCGGTTGAAAATAGGTGCAAGCGTCTTTCATTATCGAGTTTAATTGAAAAATGTTTTAAACTAATGCAATGTGAACCTTATTAACAGGTCCTCACTTCCATAGTTTCATTATTTCTAAAACAAGTGCTTAAGTCAGGTATGTTTTAATATGTTTGTCCCATTCTGCATATTTTTGTTCGACTAACACTGTTTAATGCGAAACTTATATTCAATCAATTTAACTAAAATTCAACCAGTTCTAAAAATAAACGTACAGATCTGACGGTTGATTGGTTATGTCACACTATGATTAGGTTCACTTACTTTTTTGCTATGAAAGGTACCTATTTATTATATTTCTGGTGCGATTTGGTCTTGGTGTGGCGTTTGCTGTTCTTATAACAAATATTTACAAAGAGAAATAACGATGGAATAAACCACAAGAGTTTAGTCATTAAATGCAAATTAACAAAAGTTCTAAGTACTACTTTGATGTCTTTCTGAAAACAACTGGAGAGTCGATTTTGATATTTTAAGAATCATTTGAGATCTCATTTTCTTTTAATTGTAAGTCATATGTACGGCAGTATACTTTTCAGATAATAATGCTAGATTTTTTAGATATTTTTTATGGATAATTTTTTTTCTCAAGAAATCTTTAGCTTCACTTCTATTGAGAATATGTCCATTTATTTTTTATTAAAGTAATATCAGGACACTTGAACCGGCTTGAAAGTAAATCGGGAGTTGTAACAAGGATCTCGCGCATGTGTCTGGCGACGTCAATAATCTGTATCATCTCTGCTTATGTGCTGTATTTATTGACCGTCCCTGGCGCCCGGCGGCGGCTTGATTACAGTTTCAGTATTTTGAATAATATCTAAAAACCTTGTATCCTACTTGTCGTGACTGAGATGGTTCGGTAACGAGTTACTACCTAAAGGGGAAACTGCGGCTGTCTGGTATTCCGCCTCATGTTTACAAATAAATAGCTTTGAATGTTCAAAATTCTTTCCTCTAGGATGAAAACGGGTTTATAGTATTACTACTAGAACACACACATTCAAACAAATGATATGTGTTTAATGAAAATAAAGTACGAACCTGTATTAAGAATCATACCTCAGATCCTGTTTTGTTATAAACATTCAAGCGATTATATATTTTTCATAACGTCTTCATGCCAAAAAAAAAAAGATTTTCCATGCGGTTTTGATATTCAAAGAAAATCCTGTTTTGCACGTGTAAGAAAACTGGCTTAAGCGGCCATAATCTGTGAAGTAATACACCTTCGATTTCATTATTAATACTGGCAATGATAGTTTAAGTTGTGTACAAACTATGTTTACGTTTCAATCCAGGAAACACATGTACATCTTTTCATCTTTAGTATTTTAATAGATGAATAATGTACCTTTTTTTCGTACATTAACATCTGCATAAGAACGAGGACTTATTGAAAGCCCGAACCCGAAGTGCAAGAGATGTAATAAGTCCGAGCGCTCTTTTACTGATTTTAATGCACGGAAAAAGGTGTATGAGGGCTATTCTTGTATAAAAGTTTATTCCAAATCGGTTATTCCGCGTTTCGATTTTGTATTTCGTATAACAAAATGCTTGCTCAATGCTTTCCATGTGCTCGTGCAAAGTTATTTGGCATTTATGATTTGATGATAAAACTACCGAGCCCGTGCAACAATGCCGCATGTTCTTGAGAAAATATTCACCGTGAATGTATTACCCGTGTGTGCAGTTTTTTTATGCAAGAATTATATTTAAAATTATTCATAATTATAAACTTTGAGCAAGACAATTATTCTGGTAGAAGTAAAAATAAAACGGTGAGACGTCACTTCGATACACCAATCGTTCTTCAAGAAATGCTCGTGCACTTTGGAACAAAAAGTTGGTGTTTTTCCTTCTTTGTTTTATTTCTCTCTTTTTTTACTTATACTGTGTGTCATTATATCAGAAGATGTGCAATAGATGAATTATTCTTAAGATATAAGGGGTAATAATATTTTGAGCATTCATTAAGCTAGTCTAGTAAAATATAAATATGAAACCAACATTCAAGTATACGTTGAATAGCGCATAACGTTGAATGCAGACAGTAAATCAAGGACACTGCAAAGTACCCAGTTATATAAGATTAGAGACCGATAATAACTTTAACGTGGCTTTGTCAACCGTAAACAAGCTTTTTAATAAAAGTAAATTAATCGTATGAAAATATGTCCACTGAAGCAGAGAGTTTGATCTATAAATAGTTAAATGTTATTTTAGTTAAAACAAAATGTGTGTATCAAGACTGAAACAGTTTGAGGGTGGTTGGGCTGGATTGATAGTACTAGTTTCTTCCTTTCTAACATGGGTAAGACTTATATCGTATATATCTATAACAAATCATTACAACTTATATAACCTTGTCTTCTCATATCTGTTGCTTAGGGATACTCTAGAGTGACATAATACATTGTAGTCAGTTCGTACACTTTTTATTTTTTGGTGGTGTTAGCATCGTAATGAAAGATTAACTTTACCATACGTCGATTAAATATTTGTCGTCTGGCTGGCAAAAATCGTTTATATATACCAGCTGCGTATCCAGTTTGTAGGAATACATATGTTGTTGTTGTTTTTTTATTGTTGTTTTTTTATGTAAACATATTATTCGTTCATAGGTTTACGAAATGACAACAACGTGGCCTATTGAATGTTTCCTATGAATGACCTAACGAGTTTTATATCATAATCATATTATAGTTCACTCTGCTCTCTCCTTTGCTTTTCATCCAATCATCATCGAGAGATTTTCATTTTTTTTGCCACATTTATCTATTAAGTAAAGTCATTAAGTGAAACTATTAAGTTGTCAATGTGAAAGTTTCCAAATATGGAAAACTAAGCTCTGTCTGCAAGAATGATCGATTTTCTTAAAGCTGCACGCTTCCCGATGAGCCAAAATATTTCAAGAAAATCAATATTGAGAAATATGTACTAACATTTTAAGAAAGGTAAAACATTCTAGATCAAAGTTAATTTTTTGTTATGTGCGGTTTAAGACTGATTTTGCCGTATTTTATCACCATATTTCTACTGCGTTACGAACGCAGTAAGGGCTGTTTTTGCATATGTTGACCTTTTTTTATTGTAATTGCCGATTGCAATATTTGTTCACCTCACAATATTTTACTTTTAAATACATTTTAAAATTTTCATGAACATCGACATTAATCTGGAGGCGTGCTGTTTTAAGGTAAAAAAAAAATAGGTACACCATAAATATTGTGTATTACTTTTTTGATATTCAGTCAGGTATGGTGGCTGATTTGGTACACTTGCGCGTTGCGTTGTCGATAGCGACAACACAACCTATATCGTTATCGCCTTTTCGTCTTGTCGCTAGCGGCAGCACGACAAAGCGCCAAACAACGCGTTGTCGCACTGTCGTCCTGTCGCTAGCGAAGCACGCCAACCGGCGGGTTGTTGTGTGGCGTGTTGTCGCAATGTCGCTTGGCTTATATATAAACAAACAGCAAATATTTCGATTTGAGCTAGTGACAATGTGACATCGCGACAACACGCCGCACGACAACGCGCCGTTTGGCTTGCATCGTTAGCGACAGAACGACAAGACGAAAGTCCAACAACGCGCCGTTAGGCGCTTTGTCGTGATATCGCTAGCGACAACACGACGCACTAAAGTGTTCCAAATCAGCCACCATAGTCAGAACTTATTCTTAATTGTTTTCTCTAAAAATAATAAATAATTGTTTTGTCTAGATTGATAAATAAAAACAACTACGTTTCAGTTATTTAGCGTGGTAAGGGTTAAATATGTATTTCATTACACGAAGTTAGAGGCACTTATTTATGATAAAATATACTTTAACACGTTATTACTTAATTACGTAACTACTTTATTGTCAAACAGATTTTGTTTTCAGTTGAAACTATAATTAAGATCGCTATAAAGTATTACATGTGTTATTCATTTTTTATTTATTAGGATCATTCTTCATTTCTCTTATTACACAGCGTCAGTTAGATCTAATTTTTTTTTTCATAAAAGGATTTAATTCAATAGGTTTGCGCTTGCAGAAATCATGATCACAAATTAGACAAATGTCGTTTTTTTTCGCCGAGCCTAACATTTTTCATTCATTATCGAATATAAATAGGTTCAAGAAATGAATTAAAAGTCATTCCGGTGTGTGAAAATGCGAGATATTAGCATTTAATCATTCAAGCGCCTTGTCCGATATATACCTACCTACCGTAATACGATATTTAGTGTGGTGCTCAAATCCTTTTTTATAAAATGTATCATTTTCAGGTGTGTGCATTCGGAACATCGGTTTCAATCGGCATCTACAATTTAGATTTTGCTGACTACTTCAACATAGGATCTGCAGAAGTCTCACTAATAGGTTCCATTAATACAGGATTTCTATTCGGTGCAGGTAATACCAATTATTCAATTTTCTCTTTGCATACAAATAACCTAATTAATCCATATTTGAGGAATATATAATATTGCAGAATTAAGGAAATCATGTTACTATGATATATGATTTTTGAAAGATAATAATGAAGACGGGTATTTAACTTTTTCTACAAATCAGACGCGGTATATAATGCTGTAAAATGTTTAATTCACCTTGATTCATTCCAATATGCAGACCTACGTATCTAAAAGCATAAATATCAATATTGGTCGATGTTGATACGATGTCCTGAAAACTGTATGTCCATACTTCATGGTAAAGTGTAAATCATTTTTTGGATCATATGTGTATGGGCCGGATGCCTTATTATGCTATAAACTTGCAATTAATTGAATTAAATGTCAATAGTCAAAAGTTTAACTTTCTGATAAAAAAATAGGTCCTATCGCCGGTGTTCTGATGTCTAAATGGAGCTACAGGAAGGTTGCTGTTGTTGGGGCTATATTAAGCAGTATTGGACTGGTGGCATTTGTGTTTTCACCAAACGTTTTATACGCTTACTTCTTCTATGGTGTTCTAAATGGTATGTATACAGTACATTTTTTCTCTGTAATATGCGAGATAACTGATGTTTGTCATTAAACAACAAATATATATAATTAATAATAGCACGATTTACTCGGAAATATATGTATAATGTTTCCTATCAATTCTGCTTCAGCTATATTGACCGCCTTGTCATCTTTCTATATTTTTATAATTGTATTATGTTGTATTGCCAAATATATTTCCTTCTATCTATCAGTAAAATGATTAGAAATTAGGGTAGAGTAAACCTAGGAAATGAATACGACTTTTCCTTTTCCAGAAAAAATCCCCTTGTATGTGAAAAATAATTTGTCTAAACTGTTTCAGGGTTGGGCAATTGTTTAGCGGTGACGGCGTCGCAGGTGTCCTGTGGTCAACATTACGTCAAATATAGAGGAATAACGTCTAGCTTTGTCATTTCCGGTACCGGATTTGGCTCTGCTTTATTTCCAATCATTATTAATTATTTGATAAAAGTATATGGTTGGAGGGGATCGCTTTTGTTTTTAAGTGGTATAAATCTACATATGCTCGTCTTTACTTTATTACTGCTACCTGTAAAAGCTTCTTCACAAATTCAGTCTGATCGGCGTTTAGAAAATAAAATGAAAAACAGAAAAAAAAGCCTGTCTGATATTTATAATGATAAGAGTCATGAAATTAAAGAGGATATTGAGACTTTAGGCAAGTTTCAAATAAAATGTAAATACTACCTGCAGAAATTAAAAAGAAACATAAGCACAATTTTAAATTTTAAATTTTTCATATTCTTGACCAGCACGATTCTGTTTAATTTTGGTTATAACGCTATTGTGATATTTCTACCTCAGCATTCTATTGCTATTGGATATAATGAGGGCACAGCTTCATTGGCACTGACTCTTGTTGGGGCAGGTTTATTTGTTGGATGTATAATTGGTAGTTTACTTGGTAATTATAACTGTAAAATTATTGTACTCATTATTGGCTCCTTCGGTTTTGGAATTTCGTCAATATTGATAAAAGTTTCCCAAGTGCAATATATGTACATGTCACTGTCATTTTTGGCCGGGTTATCAAGTGGTTTAGAGACGGCTTATCTTTTAACAATCGCCTGCGAGATATTAGGTGATGATGCTATGGCCATCGGTTTTGGATTCGTTCTGTTTGCTGTAGGAGTCGGGTGTATGATAGGTCCACCAATCACAGGTGAGTTCTATATTTGTTTCTGTTAGGAGTTAACTGTCGTCTAAAATAGGTAAATTAAATCCAACTTGATTTTTTTTTATTTATTCATCGTGTTTTCAAGTTTCATGTAAATCTAAGTATTTTTATTTGGTAGGAGTAAGGAAATTCTCCGATACTGTAACTGATTCATTGATTGCACTATTTGTTTAGTAATTTGTACTTAACGAGGGCACAAGTTAAATATCTTTATCTAAATAAACGTTTGGTCATTCCAAAATATATATAGTTTTAATACCAGTAACAAAGTATAAATTAATGCTTTTTCAATAGAACGTAAAAATATTCTGCATAACCCAAAAATTAAAATAAACATTACACATTACAGGTTATCTTGTTGACAATTATCAAGACACAGATTACGTGCTATATGTATCAGCAATTGTGACAATACTATCAGGCGTAATTATGCTTCCATACCCACTTATATCTGTTGTGAAGAAATGTTCTAGATCCAGGACAAGTGAGCAGTCTACTCATCCAAGTCAATCGACAATCACATTGGTTAGTGTGATAACGGACATGAATGAAATACATGTACAATGATATTAACTTTTAATCATACATTATTTCAAACAACTTCAGAACATATAAAATCATTTAGTAATTTACAATACAGGCATGAAGTGTTGACCAGTAAGCTGGGCTTATAAAGGTCTTCTGCCTATAGATTTACAATGCATACAATACGTTTTTACATCCTTATTTTATGTAAATAAAGATGAGATTGTTTCCTACATTAAGTTGTAATCTAGAGCAAAATTATAAACAAACAAAGAAATGAAAAATTGAGAATACAATACCGAATCATTATGTTAACCCTTTACTTCATGAGCATTTTGTGAAAAATGGCTGTTTTCATTGAAAAGTCTCATTGCCTTTGTAACAACATGCCCAGGCTTAAATTTCAAAATTGCCAAAGATCACTAATTTGCATTGATTTTTGCCATCAAAATTGATTTCAAGGTGCTGCAACTTTTCAATGGATCGAGATAGAGTCAAATGCTTTACAGAGCTGGTTACACGTTACCTTATGATCGATCTGTGGTCATTTTTAACCACCCAAACAGAAGGGGGCAAATCCCCTTCTGGCAACCCCCTGATGTATCTTTTGGTTGGGGGCCGAGCCGAAAAAGTGGTCACTTTTTTAAACAACATTTCTCAAACAAAAACAAGTGTTGGGGGCCTAAATAAGGCATTTTTCACCATTTGAGACAACAAAAAGGGGGTGAAAAGGGCGTTAAAAGGTGTGTATATCGCGTAATGGGTTAACAGAAAATGATGAAAATACCTGAAATTACCTTTTCTAGAATTTTTCATTTTTTTTCATTAAATTGAATTTTGAGCAATAACTTAAATCAAGACGCTAAGCATTACAATGAGAAAGAAACTTTCAGAAATATAAAAAATGAAGAAGTAACTAATAAATATGTGAATTACCCGTTTACTTCGACGGTTTGAATAGAAAGAAAACAGTAGATGCGAATATACTCAAGAGAATCTCCTGCTTGCTCGGCTTTAAACAGTCTTCTGTTTGCGTCAATTTTAATGTTTGGGTCTCCATTAAACAAAGTTTGGAGAGTTACTGAACGGATGGTAGATATATTATTAAGAAGACATTCCCTACTGTCAACATAGCGTTGACATTTAATGATAAAGTCACAATTCCTTTCCACTATGCCACACTGACACAGAGGAGATGGAGAAAGATTTTCCTTAAATAGATGATCTGAGCCGCGTCAAAGATCCATGCTGTTCGCTATCAGTTTCTCTATTTGTTGTAGGGTTTGTAAGCGAACAGCATGGATCCTGATCAGACTGCGCGGATGCGCAGGCTGGTCTGGATACATGCTGGTCGCAAACCCACCATGTTGGTTTTGTCGTGACGCGGCTCAAAATTTTTAGAGAACAACATTCAGTAGGAAGTAAAGCGTGATAGATCTGCCGCTTCCTATCGCCTTCATAGAAATAAATGGGGCATTTACAGCTGTTTGTCTCAAATGTGATTTGAAAGAGAGGAGTGATCGTAAATTGTCTACTTCACTAGGAAGGACAGATGGTAGAAAACATTTTCGTGCTCAAAAAGACTGCATATTCGTAGCATTGCGTAGATTGAACCTTCAAGTTTCATCTAGTAAACTGTTAAGTATTTCTTTTTCATTTTATAAAGTTAGATAAGCATATAGTAAAACAAACTTATGGTTATTTCTACGATATTCTAAGGATTCCCTAGAACTTCATTATGGAGTTTATCTTAAATTTAAGTTTTGTAGCACCACACACAATACGAGATTCATTTCGAATCTTGTCAATAACATTTTGGACACATTCTTATTTGTCGACATACATTGGTGAAAGCACATTAAAACATTTATCAGTCATTGTTTTATGCTTCCTAGCCAATGGTTTAACTTATATGGAAATACGTATCGTTGTTAAAGTAATTACAAAAGTTAATATTATTTACAAGAATATTGAAAAAAAATCCACTCATATCAATCTTAGTGAAACAATGACGATAACGATTAAGAATGACAATTACCTAGGAATCATGGGAAATCTTCTGGAAAAAGTAATAAAATGATAAATATATAGGTTTTGGGAGTACCCATTTACATGGTGCGAATTGTGTGTTTTCATTAATGAAAAGAAGCAAAAAGTGGAACGTAATAGAACAATTTATGAAATTAAGAAATCTACCGAAAATGTGCATTTAATCATAATTCAGCTAAAAAAAGAAAAAAACAAACAGTATTATATGAGATAACCTGGTACATGAACAACAGTTGTAGCACAAAATATTCGGTTTACATGTTTTTGGAGAATGAACGTTAACAGCATTTAGTTCTTAAGTAAAGGTTAGCTATAATAAAGCGTTTACATTCTTATAAATATAGAAAGTGGATTATTGACTTAATCATATGCTGTGATAAGATTCCTAAGAACAGTGGTTAAACAATGTTTTATAATAGACACATAATCAAGTAATTTCAAGATTAAACAATATCATTATTAAATATAACAACACAAATTTATACATTGATTTACAGTAATTCAACTCGCTGCTTTGTAGCATAATACAAATATTTAAGGATATTGAACGATTACATCTTAAATTCTGTAAGTGAAACAAAGTATTTGTACTGCAGCAATTTATAGCGAATTAGCTCCTTATCCATTATTTATTAAACGATATAAGCAAGTTATATATGGCTTAAAATAATTAATTTTTGAAAACTGCATGTATGCTCGAGTTAAATTACATGAAAACAACAATCAATGATGGGCTTCTTAAGAGCATAGAATACTAAATGAGTATGGGTTTTCTGAATAAAAAGCCAAATGTTTTGTTAAACTTTTTAAACAAAGGCTTACTTGACTGCTTTTTGCAAAAGCTTTCAAGTGGTATTTCAAACAGTCCATTGTTAAGTAATATATATGTACATTTGTATAACTCATTTGAAATTGCCACCTACCTAAAAATTTCTCCATAATAAAACTAATTAAAATGGCTTAGTAAGATTAAGACTATATCACATAAACTTCGGATTGGGATTGAAACAGGTATGGTGCCAATAGAATACCCCGCGAGGAACGTTTATGTCAGTTTTGTCCTAGTAATGGGATAGAAGATGAATTTCATTATATTTTTTTATTTATTATGTGCAGCTAACAGTTACTCTAATATACGTATTGTATATTGAATATGCTATACAAATATATGTTGAAACGACTATGCACTAAATGTATTCGTCAATGACATGTACATGTATCATACTATCGAATCAAAGGACTTGAGGTGAAGAAAGAGATGACTGCCTATATCATTTACGTTTGATTTTCATTTCTGTTTTCAGCAATGACTCTGTGATGCCGCTTATTGTAAACCAAATAACGCCTTTCCCTGATTCAGAGCTTCCATACATACCGTTAAGATTTGAGTCATGACAAGCCTCGTACCACCATGCCCCAGTGTAAAGAACTGCACAATTTGTGGTGCTAGAAGGATCATTGTCATTATCTTTGGTTGAAAATTTTTGTCCGTTATGAATAGATAAACTGTCACCTGCAGTTCCACTGTAGCCGGATACAGTAAGTTCGTATTTCTGGGACTCGCCTGTTGTTTTAAATGTGCTATATTCGGCATATTTGTGGACATTATTTTTATCATATAAATCAAAACGAATTTTGTAATTGCCTCCACTTGTGAATGTGGCTATATTATCATTTCCGAGCCAGTAGTTACTTTCAACATCCCCGAAACCTTTCTTATATTCTGCCCATGTTTTATAAAAGTCACTCGAAGATATCCGTCTTTGAATAATAGTCCAACCACCGGAAGTTGTATCCATATCACAACGAACGCTGATACCAGCATTTCCGGTTGGGTAAATCAAGTAAGATCCGGTTGATTTCAGTCCAAGACTTTGCACATCTTCACAATCTCTTAAAATACCACAACCAGGGCAGTTAGCTCCAATAGAATCTGTAATCATTGATCAAAATATAAAGTAAAATAAGTAAAATATATTATTTAAAAAGACACAAAATATTTTGGAATATTATTTTGTCATCATACCATAACTTATGTCTTATTGAATGATTTATATAAATATATGTTTTATTACTTATTCCAGAATTCCATTGGAGAGAATCTAACATACAAACATGATGGAAATATCTTTATCATGTACAGACTACCATATAAAACCTTTAATGGTAAATCTTCACCTAAATGAAATCAGTAAACGTAGTTTGGTTTGTAGCATGGTCATGGTTCATATACAATTATTACTGTATATCATATTATTTAACAAATGAGCCGCGTAACGACAAAACCAACGTAATGCGTTTGCGACCAGCATGGATCCAGACCAGCCTGCGCGTCTGCGCCGTCTGATCAGGATCCATGCTGTTCGTTATCACTTTCTCTACTTGTTATAGGGTATGTAAGCAAACAGCATGGATACTGCGCATCCACGCAGTCTGGTCTGGATCCATGCTGGTCACAAACGCATTACGTTGGTTTTGTTGTAACGCGGCTCAAATGCATTTTTTAACGTAATATATTAAAAGATCCAGCAACACTTTTGAAGAAGCATAAGCTATTATTTTAATATTGTTGTAGTTAACAGACATGACACATATTGTGTCAATTATAAGGCTAAAGCTTTTGCTTTTGTAACAATATTCATTTATGACTTATACAGTATAAGTACAAGTAGTCTGTTGCTGACGTCAGAATTGCTTGATATCACAACAGAAACTACGGTATTGGATCAAAATACTAGAAATGATATATATAACTTTTTCCACTCATAAAATCTTATAAAGTTTCTCAAATGTGTATGAAATCTATTAATTTACTATTTTGTCAGCATTTGAGCCGCGCCATGACAAAACCAACATAATGGGTTTGCGACCAGCATGTATCCAGACCAGCCTGCGCATCCGTGCAGTCTGATCAGGATCCATGCTGTTCGCTTACCAACCCTATTACAAGTAGAGAAATTGATAGCGAACAGCATGGATCCTGATCAGACTGCGCGGATGCGCAGGCTGGTCTGGATCCATGCTGGTCGCAAACCCATTATGTTGGTTTTGTCATGACGCGGCTCATATATATATGTATATGAAAAATATTATTTTGTCAGCATTTGATATGACATTATTGATATTTAATTGTGTTGATATACAAGTCAACTGTACTCTAGGCTTTTTGATTAGGTTTTTCATATTTTATTTTATTTTTATTTTTTTATTATTATCTTCAATATATATCTATCTAACATTATTATTAATAACTTATTGAGTTAATCAGGGACCTATTCTTTGTCCTCTTTTATTCATTTTTATTTTAATGATATCGCTTTAGCTACAATAAATAGTAATATAGATTATGCTGACGATTCTACCATATACAAGCATGTATCTGATCATAATTTGAATGCAATAGAAAGTAAACTTCAGAAAAATATGGATGGCATAGATCGATGGTGCAATTTAAACACTATCTTAGTCCATCATGCATGATATTAAGTACGAAACAAAAGTAATTATTGTTATGAACTATCAAATATAGTTTCACTAATACTCGCCATAATTTTTATATGCTGTAAAAATTTAGTGTTCAAATATTGAGCAAGTTTTTCAAAGTATTTTACCTCTTGGACATATGGTATCTATGTTAGACCACACACCTCCAGACAGACATGTTGCAACTATTGACGTAACACCAGTGGCAAAATAGTTCCCAGATGTGCATGTGACCATGCGTTGTGTACCTTGGGTTAGTCCACCAGGGCTCACGTTAGAATTGGGAACATTTGGGAGCTCGGAGCAACCTGACGATGTAATATTGTTTAAAGATATATTTTAACTCAATACATTAAAAAAAATAATCTTCATAATAACTATTCACTTAATTATCAACTTTAAACTTGATCAAATGCATTATCATTCATTCAGTTATTCAGTTAAAGCATCGATAAAGTTAATAAACCTAATTATAAAGATATTTTCTCCAATGGTCATGATTTAAAAAAAGCATGATAAGTATATTAGACAGTATTAATAAATGATTAAAATACCAGGAACACACTGCGGTAAGCTTCCACTCCATTGACCATCGTTACCACAGTCACGTTGTAAATCCCCACCAATGAGGATGTAACCGCTGGAACATGTATACGTGACGGTTGAGCCTTCAGTTGTTGAAACGTAACTTTTGCTAGCACCTGAAGTCGTAGCCGGTGTCCCACAGTCTGTAAACAATTTGATTACCTATCAATTTTGTTTCTTCTAGAACAAATTACTAAGGGATGGATTATTATATCAATAATATACATTTATTTGTATCGTGCCGTTTTCCATTTCCGGTTAAACATGTTATCTTCTATCGGCTGTTTATTTCAACAACTGTTTGGTTTAATATATAATAAGGGAATAAGATAGTTAACAAAAGTTTCTTAAAATACATAAAAAATCAAGAGCGTTGCGGAAATTCTGTCTTACCCACAGTGCATGTTGGCAATATCCCGCCCCAATTACCGTCTGAGCCACAAACACGCTGTAAGTCTCCACTGGTGTGCGTGAAGCCATTCTGACAGGCGTAGGTGACGATGGAGCTCACAACAGTAGAGGAATACGAGCTATCTGCACCAGTCACTGAAGATGGTGTTCCACAATCTAAAAATGCCATACAATTTATTATAAAGTTATGATAGATTTACTTTGCTGCTTGACAAACCAATTTCAGTCAAAAATGTATGAATTACTGACCTTCAATATACTGAACTTTCGCGAAGTTTATGATAGAAATAATAATTACAGCACATAATCATAAAGTTCCAGAAATTCCACCAACCACTGACTGCATATAAAAACGCGAACATATTCCACCAAACACACATGCACCCACATAATAGACAATATAAATCAAACATATTGCAAAATCTTCGAAAAGAAGACAAATCCCGAGTCTCTCACACATTATATAGGATGATCAATGTCACTGTGTTTTTCTAACATTTCTATTGTTGTGAAAACTAGTAGCCATGTCTTTTTGATATATTTTATTCTGATTATATATAAACTGTTAAATGGAAAGAAAAAATGACTTTCATGAAATAAAGTAAAAACAAAGTGCATTATAGAAAAGCTGAAAGGCTAACTCACCCACAGTGCATGTTGGCAACATCCCGCCCCAATTACCGTCCGAGTCACAAACACGCTGTAAGTCTCCATCAGTGTGAGAATAGCCAGTCTTACAGGCGTACGTGACAATAGAGTCCAAAACAGTGGAGGAATATGAACGACTCGCACCGGTTACTGACGACGGTGTTCCACAATCTAAAAGTTTCAATCCATTAGTTAAATAATTATGTTTTTTGTCCCAAATATTGACTTAGATAATATGTCAAAACAAAATGGTAAGAATAAATAAAACATACATAGTACAAAAACTAACAAAATAACAACACAAGAGCAATCAGTGATGGCATATCTAGCCTGATGATAGCAAATTAAGCAGTTGTATTAAGGGGTGATTGACCAGTATATTCCCTATTTGTCGCTGCTATATTGTAGATGTGTGGCAGGAGACACAGAAATCATTAACATGCCAAAACGCCTCTTTTATTCAAGGGCAATAACTCAGCCAAATATCACCCAACCAGAAAACCAGAGCAATATGCTCAAGTATTTAAACTACCAATCAATCCTGTAAAGTTTCGTTAAAATTACTTAACTTATATAAGAGAACTAGTCTGGACATACTTAGAAAATAAAGTGACAAAAATCATTCTGGATAATGCCGACAATAGACTTAATTGGTGCTGATCATTCCTGTAAAGTTTGGATCAAATTGCACTAGTTATTGAGGAGTAGTCTGGACAAGTTTTGTGACGGACGGACGGATGGAGAGACGGAGAGACTCTCTACGTGGTCTTTTTCCTTTGATTTTCTTTATCTCAAAAACCCCTTAAGCAACGTATTTTCAACCCATTAGCAATTTTTCCCCACAATACAAATCTGTTCGAAATGAACACGGATACTCATCTTATAGTGTTACTTCAAGTTTTGAGTTCATACGGACAGACAGACGACGGAGAAGCGATCTTTGTAGCGAGCAATACAAAAATAACAAATACATGTCTTTTCCACCAGTATAAAGCCTTAGAATACATGCATTTTGACCAGGTTTTTTGTAGCTAATTTTTAGTATATTGATATTGAAATCTTTTAAACTATGAATGGGTAATTCCAAATTCAAAGTAAAAGAGGCCAAAGTCCATTCATTGCATTAATTCAGCAGTTTATTGGTTAGAATTAGATTAAATTGTAAGATCCGTATAATATTATATATACGTAAACTATGAACATAATTAAGAAGATAACTATTTGCATAAGTTTCAAGTTAATCAAAGTCTTACCTATAACACAGTCAGGTTGATTGGACCAAACCCCATGCGTGAGACACTTGGCACTGTCTTGTCCAATATTGACATACCCAGGGTTACAGGTGTACATTATTTCTGACCCTATTGTATTCATGTTCCCAACAAGTTCTACATTTTCAAGTTGTGTAGTTAATGAACATTCTGTTTTGAATACATCAGGAAAAAAGAAAGAATGTAATTAAGTACTCCGTTAAATTACATGTGCCTTTAAATCTAGTATTTAAAACACATATTTTTCTTTTAAGTTGTGTGTGATCACAAAACAAAGCTAGAACTTATAATTGGTAAAGTTAAGACCTTCCTAAAATATATGTAATATAAAGTAAACCTTACCTTTCGTTAAACAGTTGTTATTTTTACACACATCACCGACTGCACAGCTACATGTTTGCACCTGTACACGAAATAAAACTATTTTTTAACAAGGAAAACAGACTGTAAAGAGCTGACCATCATATAAAGAAGCACATTTCACACGGACCACCTTGTACAGAAATGACCATTTTCAAAAATTCAAAGTATGTTCAAAGGGCGATGCCTTGAAATTAAGAGGAATGTGGTTTTAAACTTAATATATATATTAAACTCAGAGAATTGAATGGGTATTGAAGGGAGAACAAAATAAGAAAAAGCATCAGGGTAACAGATTAATATCTTAAAAATATACAAGTATATATCTTTTGAATGGAGAAAGGAAAGAAATGTTTGGTTTTATTACCTCACCAAACTCTTCATCAAGGTCCTTGACTACATGATATTGTAAACTAAAAGAATCGACACTCATAGTTTGCATCAAAATCACCAGGGCTTGATGATAATATCAGGCTTTGATGATGATAATAACAAAGTCTAGAAAAATTGTTAAAATATTTTATTTCTAATTTTATCTTTTCTATACAATTTTTTACCGAAATTTTTTCTTTGCGAACATAAGCAATATAAAATTGCTATAATTTTTTGTGTGTTTTTTTTTTTTTTTTTTTTTTTTTTTTTGGCAGAAAGCATCTATATCACGAAAGAAGGTACACATTTCAACCCATTGCTCAAAATTATATATTTTTCCTAACTTTTTGGGGTAAAGAAAATATAATTACATGTACCTGAACCTGATTTTAAATCAAACTTTATCTTTAGATGAGAGCTCTAGATGGATGATCGCTGGCCTACTTGATATAGCAGTGTTACGTTGGCTATGTTCGCCTACAGCCATATAATCAAAAGTTGACATAACTAAAAATAAAACTATTTTTTTCACTTCTTTCAGCACAGTGTGGCCATACCACGTGACATTTACGTCATTTTTGGCATCATTTCCAAGACAAATATTGCTCGATTCGGAAAAGAAAATAGCCGTAAATATTTTATTTCTGTACCAATATCTTTGGGATATGCACCAGTCTACGGGGAAAAATATAACCTTTCCACAGAATATAAGATCTTCGTCAGTTTATAAGCCGTTTTATCAAACACTTTGCATAACCTTGGAAGTTGCTTGTATTAGAGCGGGCTTCGGTTGCAAGCTATTTCGTTTTCTGGCGTTATTTGGTCTACGCCATGATTAATAGGTCAGGTTTACATCAACCGGGGGTACAGACAGCAAAATCCTACCTTAATATGTTTATATGGTTATTATTTATGGCGTAAATCTTGCCATTTTCTTCAATTGTCAATTCTGGCACCAGTTCCAAGTCGAAAAAAGGGACTACAGTTTAAAGCAGATTTTAGAATCTGTTGCAAATGCAAAGCAACATGCCTACCGTTCTCTTTCTACAATTTACTGTTTCATTGTTGATCTTTCACAAAGAGATTGTGAAAAAACTGATTGTTCCTTAAAGCAATAACACTTACTTGTATCGCAATAGTGCACCGAAAAATAATATTTTGGTTTCGTTTTGAAGATGTTTAAAGTATTGCTCATCTTATCCTATGTAGTAAAATGTGATTTATTCTATTTCACAATGGCGAAATTGATAAGAAATAAATGTGCTCTCAATGAGAGAAAGAGTTAAAATAAAACAATGCTACGGAAAGGGTTACACTATAACGCGAGTGTTGTAAAAAGGCTTAAGGTAATTTTTTCAGTCTATTTTTTGTAAAGAGTAACTGACAAACACTGACACTCGTGAAGGTGACGAATAGGTTATTCTGTCCTCAAAAGAGAGACTTTGAAAAGGTACATATTTTTCTGGAATTGCCGTATAATAAATTTCTATAAAGTTTGATAAACAAAAATCACAATTTAGAATTAAAATCCTGAATCTAATTGTCACGCGCATTAACATGACGTTCACATTTTATGCTTATTTAACTATAAGCATATTCATCATCAGTCAGATTTTGTTCTTTGTGTAGAACAATTTTAAATAGCATTACATATAACTTGCAACTTTGCGTGTAAACCTGATAGTATTGTTACTTAGTTGCGTTACTTATGATTCTCTATTTATCAAAAAGGCCCAAAATAGCCCTGAGTCGCCAATAAAAAACGAGAATGGACGCCATGTAGAGTAAACAAAGTAGAAAATAGTAAACAGATAAATGATTTTACAAACCAACAGCCATCGATCAAAGTCAAATTTCTTGAAAAAAACATTCTAAAAGTCGGACATAACAATGATTATCAATAATTATATAAATATTTACATTAACATATATGTAATAGCAACACGACTGGGTCCATATATGACACTGATGCGTCCATTGAATCATTGATAGCTAACATAAGCTAAGTAAAATTACGATTACATTTGAAGAGTATATTCAATTTTATTCTTCAACTGTCAAATTACTTACTTCTTTATTCACATATCAGATAATTCATTTATTTGGCATATGCATTATGTTTATCATGTTTTAGATTTTAATATGTGGTCCTTCTTTAAATCTTAAAATGCAACAAAAATCCTATTAAGGACATCTGCAGGTCATGCCGCGTGCAATAATCCATGCATTTACATCCAATGACCACATCGATAAGAAATAGTCCCAAATAGCCCTACCGTTTTTATTCAATTGGAAGAGACATTATCGTTAAAAATTCTACTCGATTTAAATGTTTTCAAACCATAAATATTCCGTTCCCTTCCTCTCTTTACAATGTGTATTGGTGAGCTCTCTGATAAAGCTCGATTGACTGATATAATTAAAAAAATTGTCAGATATGTAGTTTATCAACAGAAATAAATGCAATAATAAAATAAATAGTGTTTAGTGTTCTTAAGTGAACGAAGTTATATCCAGTTCACGAAAAACGGTTACCGTGGGTATGAAAACAGGATGTAATATATTTTTTTATCAACGAGTGCCACTGTATTAAAAAGCTGAATCTATTATACTTAAACATTGCTACAGGTTTATAACATTATGGTTATACGTATAAATAACTCCTTTGACTTTGAAACTGCCGCGTTGAGGCATAACGCTTTACAACATAAAAATGGAAATGATCCTGATTGTGCACGTTCATTGGACATTCTAGCTAAGTCAATTTTGCCGTTTATGGGTTTCTGTTTTCTCTCTATTTTGAATACGTTTAGTATTGCTACATGACACATATAGATTTTTCATACTCATTACCGTGAAAGAACAATGATTAAAGAGCAAATCAATTTCTTTACAAATACACATGTACAGACAACAATATTACGACTTTTAAAATCACTTATAGCGCAGCAAGTAAAAATCATTTAAATATTCATTTGTGTTTATGTAAATCGTACAGTAAATAACAAATGTTTTTATGGTTAACATAATTATAGAGAGAGAACGATAGGCATGTTGCTTCGCATTTGCAACAGATTCTAAAATCTGCTTTAAACTGTAGTCCCTTTTTTCGACTTGGAACTGGTGCCAGAATTGACAATTGAAGAAAATGGCAAGATTTACGCCATATATAATAACCATATAAACATATTAAGGTAGGATTTTGCTGTCTGTACCCCCGGTTGATGTAAACCTGGCCTATTTATCATGGCGTAGACCAAATAACGCCAGAAAACGAAATAGCTTGCAACCGAAGCCCGCTCTAATACAAGCAACTTCCAAGGTTATGCAAAGTGTTTGATAAAACGGCTTATAAACTGACGAAGATTCAATATTCTGTGGAAAGCTTATATATTTCCCCGTAGACTGGTGCATATCCCAAAGATATTGATACAGAAATAAAATATTTACGGCTATTTTCTTTTCCGAATCGAGCAATATTTGTCTTGGAAATGATGCCAAAAATGACGTCAATGTCACGTGGTATGGCCACACTGAGCAGAGCCTGGTACAGTGTATTATGATTTAACCCTCATGATTAGATACATACCGCGGTGATTAACCAACAAAATAAAAGAATTGGTAAAATGATTTTAAATGTTTTTGATGGGGATGATTTCCTTATGTTCCTTATGTTCAATGATGCCTAAATTTCTATATGCAAAGTTAAGTTTTTCCAAAAGTTTTTTTTGTTTTGTTTTTTTTTGTTTTTTTTTGCAATCGAAACATTATGAAATATTTGCTTTGAGCAAAGTGATAACTTACCAACCCAATCTTTTATGTGAAAACAACTTCCAGAGTAGCTACATAAATATAATATGCATTATTTATTTAGAGTATTTATATTTTGTATAAACTCTCATTTCATTTAAGTTTTTGTTTGTTTGTTGTTTTTGTGTGGGTTTTTTTGCGTGTTTTTTTTTTGTCATATACCGGTTGGTCCTCCTGCTATTCTGTGAATGTCAATTAATTTTTAATTCATCGAAGAATAAGCGTTTATTTTTCTAACATTTACGTATATCTAACGTCATTACGTCGCCATATAATTCAGTAATCACAATGAAATAATTTCCATCTAAAATGTAATTTTACTGGTCCTTCGGGACCCTCTGATTCCGGTAATTTATTAATGATCGCTGGCGGTAATAAAGCCGGCCTCAAGCAGAATGATAAATAGTGTTATTTTAAAAGATCTGTCAATGTGGGTTTCAATTTGTTTACACTACTGTCGGGGGCCTTATTACTGAATTCAATGAATTTTAAATAACGGGAACACACCTTTATTACAAAAGTATATCAATCAAAATAAACAAATATAGGAGTGTGGAACTTTAAGTGCCCTATTCAAATTGTATACCAAAATGCGAAGTTAACTATATAATGTAAATTGTTGTCAAGTGAAACAGACAATGACTAGGAAACAAGAATAGAGAGCAAACAATGCGTGGTAAAATAGTCACTGATAGTAATAATTGACCGATATAACATTGTATTATTAACAACAGGTATTATTTACAATGAAATGTTTCATACCGACGAATTCATTAGAAATATATAATAACAGACATTCATGTTTGTTTTACATATATGATTTATTCTTTTAACATACCATCGAGAAAAAGATCTTTTAATTTTTGTTTAACAGTAAACTCTTTATGCCATTCAAGGTTTGTAACTGTGAAGGGCCATAACATCATGTTAGCTGAATCTTCAAAAACTTTTAAGATTAGTTATTGTAAA